AAAATGGTTGTAACTTCATTGTTTCACATGACTTACTAAACAGAACCATGCATGTAAAGAATATAACACAGTGCCTGGATCATAATGATCTTCCCATAAATGTTAGCTGCTGTCCTTAATAACGTGCTAAGCAAAGTGGTATTGGCTTTTAGTTTGGGGAGAGGTTAATCTCAGGGGAGAATCAGAGGCTTTGAGATTTCTTTGGAGAATCAGATGTTTCATGCCTAAGATGGTATTTGAATTAGTTTCTCACAGATGGGTAAATTTTAAATGCAGTCGGTGGGAAGAAAGTATATGCTAAAAGAGAAAATAGGGTAACTAAAGTCTCAATGGCAAGGCAATCTAGGCCTGTTTCAGACAGACTGAAAATGTGTCACCAGTGGTGTTGAAAAGTTGGTTTGTGTGAAGACATTTTTTGCGAACAGCAGTTTCAACACTTTGCTTCACGCTTGTTGGGATGAGCACTGGGTGTTATATGGAAACCAACTTGACAATAAACTATGAAAGAGACAAAAAAGGGGAAAAAAAGGAAAAAAACCCCACCTTGCTTCAGGCTTGATGCCTTGGGCAGTGGGAGAGAGGATACAGCAAACCTCTGAGCAGAGAGCTGACTGGCATCTGGAAACTGATTTAGGAAAATTAATCCCGTAGCAGAGAGGATGACAGATCTCGGCAGAGAGAAAAAAGAGGCAAAGAGGTTAGTAAGAAATCCATCGTCATCACTCTAAAGAAAGGTGTGGAGACCAGAACATGGATAGTGGGGCTGGGAGCTGAAGAAAATTACAAAACATTGGAGGTTTTGAAAATGCAGGATTCGGGGCACCTGGGTGGCTCAATCAGTTAAGCATCCGACTTTGGCTCAGGTCATGATCTCACGGTTTGTGGGTTCGAGCCCCACATCAAGCTCTGTGCTGACAGCCAGCTCAGAGCCTGGAGCCTGTTTCAGATTCTGTGTCTCCCTCTCTCTCTGACCCTCCCCTGCTCACGCTGTCTCTATCTCTCTCTCAAAAATAAATGAAACATTAAAAAAAAAAGAAAGAAAGAAACTGCAGGATTCACGTAACTCTGCAATGAATGAGCAGTGGGGCAAGAGTTGAGAGAAACTTATGTTGGGTTTTTGTTTTTGTTTTTTTCAAACAGGAATCCATATTTTCCCATGTTCTCAAGGGAGAAACACAGATTCTAGTTAGAACTTTGTGGAAACCAAATTTGGGAGGAAGGGAGCCAGATCCCAGAGAAGAGAACAGGTTGGGGAGAGGTAGGCAAGTTAGTCAGATGGTAGAAAGGCCTGGGTCATTGGAGCGAAGTTGTGTACTCTTGTATCCTTTTCCCCATTGCACTGAGGCTGTCTGAGCAAATTCATTTCCAAAATCTCTTCAGTCCATTTAGCATGGCATTCCCTAAATGCGTACCAAGCAGTGGTGGGTAAAGATGTTCCAAGAATTACTAAGTAATACTCAAAAGTCCTACTGACTTCCAAATGTAGTAGTCTTACATTTATATAAAAATCACATGGGAGAGGGAGAATTGTTCAGAATAGATGTTCCTGGGAGCCAGCCCGACAGATGTACGCAATTGATCTGGGATGCGGACAGGCACAAATAGTTTACAAAATCTCTTAGGTGATTCAAATTCTCTCCTTTAGTTACAAAAGTGACCATGTGTTTCTTACAAAGAATAAATCATCCTTCCAGGCATGCACATGCATGCGTGCACGCACGCACACACACACACACACACACACACACACACACAGCAAAGCAGAGGCCCCTCTGATGTGAACATGATCACATATGCCCAACTCATGGTTATTTAGGAACCCATTGAGACTGGAGGGTCTGGAATCTGACTTCCTAAGGTAAAAGCCTAGTTCTGCCATGTTTTACACACGTGACTGAGAGCAAGCTTCTTTCCCTTTCTGTGCCTCCATTTCCCAGCCACAGAATGGAATGATAGTAGCATCTGCTTTCTATGGCTCTTTTGGTGAAGACTGATATAAAGTTTTCAGAACAGAGCTTGCCACACTCACAGAGCACTCAGTATAGCCATCTGTTATTGTCTGGAGCTTCTAGATAGCATCGCTTGAGGCCACCTTCCTTGTCCCCCACTGATGTTGGTGAAAGCAGGGACCAGCAGTGTCCTGCATCTTGCAAGCCATGATGTAACTGGACAAACAGGAATAAAGGGCTGTTGCTTGGCACACGTCTGACTGGAGAAAGGAGGAACCCGGATCCTGGGCCTTGAGAGGATTACAGATTGGGAAACTGGCCTGGAAACAGACATCTGACATCTTTCCAGGCAAATGTCTGGTGTCAGAAAGGTCCATTGAAAGTAAAGGGGGACATTCTTTTTGGGAGTAGAAGTTATGGAGACACATTGAGCAGTAGGCATCATGAAGAAAAAAAAAAACAACAAAACCAGCAGGCACGTAGCCACAGGGCTGGGGCTCAGAAACAGGCTCCAGCCTATAGATTGTAAAGAAAAGAATTAATAGGAATAAGTCAGGGATTCCAGTTTAAAGTAAGTGACCAGAAAGTTAAGAAAATTAAGAAAAGATGAGTACTGGGGTATCTGGGTGGCTCAGTTGGTTAAGCATCTGACTTTGGCTTAGGTCATGATCTTACAGTTCATGAGTTTGAGCCCCTCATTGGGCTCTGTGCTGGCAGCTCTTTCTCTGTCTCTGTCTCTGTCTCTCTCTCCCTCTCCTCTCTCTGTCTCTCTCTCAAATAAATAAAATGTTAAAATATTTTTAAAAAAAGAAAAGAAAAGATGAGTATCAGTTTGGAGGAACTTAAACCCAAATCACAAGAGACATTTGATATAAGTTCTAATTATTAAAAGCTGAGAATCTACAGGGATGTCTGAGGCTCAGTCTGTTAAGCGTCCGGCTTTGGCTCAGGTCATGATCTCACGGTTTCTGGGTTCGAGCCCTGCATTGGGCTCTGTGCTCACAGCAAGCTCGGAGCCTGGATCCTCTTTGGATTCTGCGTCTCCCTCTCTTTCTGTCCCTCTCCTGCTCATGCTGTCCCTCTCTCTCAAAAATAAATAAAACATAAAAAACTTCTGAGTATTTACAGACCCAACAAAATTATGTATTCTGCTTCCTCCATTTCCATTTTTATTTGTGTGCCTAGGGGGTCAGAATCTGACTTTGGAGGGAGCTGTATGTGACTCTGACAGCATCACCCTCTTATATTTTTGCTGATTCTTCAGATAAATATTATCTTCTCTGACCTCAATATTACCAATACCTTTTATAAAATGCTAACAGTCCTTTGCCTTAAAGAGCATTTCTTGATCCATCACATGCCTAATAATCTGATTTAGGCCTGGCAGATACTTGGCAGGGGTCAGGATGAGAATGGAACCATATTCATCTTTGTCTTTGGTCATGACAAGCACACATTTGCTAGATTCTCCATACTTCTTGGTAAGTGTGATATTAACGATACTGGTTTTTGATGGTCTATTGAGCTAGGTTTTTTTTTTTTCAGCTGCACTCATTCTTGGTAACTCATAATTAAGTGTTTTTGCAAATACTTTTTGATTTTTATGTTCAGTAGTATCCAAATGCTTAAGCAAAAATCAGTAAAAATGCTTACACATTATTAGCAGCAAAGATAGCTTTTTAGTTTTAACCAAAGATTCATTTAAATTTAAATGGTTCCTGGGATGGAATTTGTCCCTGACTGAGGAAGGACTGACTTTTGTGCAAAGGATGACTTGAAACAAGGTGATAATCAGGTGGCAGTATCCAGGGGTCTGCAGTGGATGCTGTTCAGGACACCAGCTGTTCCGTACAAGGTTCATGTGACCTAAGAATTCTCTCCAGCAAACGACACCATCGACTTTTACACGTCTGGACAGACCATCAGCTTTGACCTAAACATCCTTTGGAGACAGCACCCCCTCTTTTTTTCTTAATTATGCATTTTGTAAACAATTCTGGTAACTCTTACTTTAAAGGGAGTCAGAAGGAAATCAAAACTAATATTCTCTTCATCATATTAAAATGTAAGAGCAAATGTGAGGACACAGAGCACAAAAGGGAGCCCCATTCTGTCATGATCTCACCATTCTGAGACGAATGATATCCTCTTTCATGGAGAAGTATGGAAAAGGGACAGATGAAGAGGAAAACAGGTGCTGGCTTCTTCTTTTTCTACAGACTAAGACATGGGGGTTCTCCAGAATGTCATTCTTTGTTTCCAAACGTAAGAATTCTATTTATCTATTTATTTTGAGAAATACAGAGACAGAGTGAGGGGGGGAGGAACAGAGAGAATCCCAAGCAGGCTCCCTGCTGTCACCATAGAGCCCAACTCAGAGCTCAAACTCACATAACTGTGAGATCATGACCTGAGCCAAAACGAAATCAGATGCTTAACCAACAGAGCCACCCAGTTTCCCCCCAAAGGTAAGAATTTATACACATTCCAAAACTCAAGAGAAGCTGTTTGTAACTCATCTTGGACCTTATCCATTCTGCCATGACTCTTGTTTTCAGTGTAATCACCTGCCCATGTTTAGATGTCTGTGCGATTCTCAGAAATACAGAAGCTCATGTGTGTCAGTAACATTTTACTTCACATTGAGGAAAGCACTTGTTGGGATGAGCACTGGGTGTTGTATGGAAGCCAAACTGACAATAAATTATATTAAATAAATAAATAAATAACTTAAAAATGAAATTTTTTACAAAAGGAAATATTTTATTCTATAATCAGAACAAAACAACATGATAAAGATGTGTAGAACACAACAAAAAAATTGAGACCCTGAGTAGTTACTGGTTGCATATGAAGTAAGCCTGTGATGCCGCCTCTCCTCCAACTCTCTTAATGTCTTAATGCCTTATATCCCCCAAGCTTGAGATTTTTCCAGGTGCTCTAATAAGTGTAACACACACACACACACACACACACACACACACACACACGACTATCTCCCTCCCCCCATACTTGCTTGTTTCCTTCCTCCCCCGGTACTTCCCACCACACCAAGATTTTCTATGACCCAGAAAAAGATGCTTATCAGTTGCCAAAGTAGGAATTGGTAAAGCCCACATAGTCATAACCAGCAAGGTGGCTTCGGCCTCGCGGGTCCACATATTCTTGCATATGTGATGCACAGAACTGCACTTGTTCTGGGGTTAGGGCCTGAAATGAAAAAGAGATACCGTCCTAAGGATGAACAATAGCTGACTCCTGGGGTTGGCAATATGCCCTGAACCCAGGGGCCCCAGAGACTTAGAAGCAGCAGCCAGCCCCATGCCCACCGCATACCTTCTCTGAAATTTCTAATTTCTTGTGAGTTGAACCAGCCCATATTTTCAACCAGCCCTGACCCCAAGGCGCTCATCTCACTTGGACCACATGCTTTATCCCATTCCATAAACTTGGGTTATTAAAGACATGGGATAAGAAATAGCCTTAAAAATTGAGTTTCGGGTTTGGAATTGACTGTTACAGCCCTTAGAGGATGGCCCTAAATTTTCAAGCTGGGACAAGACAAAATGAAGGGTGAATAAAGCAAATGTCAACTTGTCCAGTACAGTGTCTGCCTCAAGGGAAAAAAAAAAGGTGGGTGGGGGAAGGTAGTTGCCAATGGGAGGCCACCAGGCCCGAGGTAAGCAAGCCCTGGGTTAGAATGATAGCATAGTGACCGTGCATACAACTGCAATCTGACCTGCTTCATGTCCTCTTTGGTAATATAGGCCTTGCCCTCCGCCAGGGCTTGGAAGGCATTCTCTATTTCATCGCTGGACTTGATGTTCTCTGACTCCTTGTCGATCAGGAATGAGGTGTAGTCCTCCAGGGAGATGTAGCCCTTCCTGTGGGAGAAATGGGCTCAGCTCTCTGAGGATGTGGACTGCGATCTCTATTTTGACCCTACTCCCCACACCCTTGCAGCTAAGTAAATGCTGCTTCCCTGGCCCCAGCCTCTGCTCCCAGGTGAGTTTTCTGGCTGGATGCTCCTCACAGTCTGCAACTCTCCATCAGCCCCAGTCCCCAGGCACTTCAAGGTTTTCAAGTTGAATTGAAGGCCTCAATTTCTGATCTTATGGCGTCCTTGACATTAGAAAGAACTAGCGCCTCCATGACTGTCTCCACCCCCACGTGCACACAATCCCATCCCCATCAGTTGGGCTCCGAAACATTTGGGTCTCCTTAGGACTTTACATGGAAAGATTCTTCTCTCAAGGTCCATTCTCAGAGTCAGCTGAAATTCATAGATCAAATGTAAAAAGCAGGAATCGAGCAAATTGCAAAGGCTGTGCCTGAGTTTGAGTCAGTGCCATGCACTTCTGAGCTAATGCTACAAAGGCACCAAAAGCTGCCCAGTTCATGTATATATGGTTGTATCTTCCTATTCCCGACCGGGTTAATGGTCATGCTTTATGGATCATCTTATTCTCTATGCTGGTTCCTCCAAGCCCCATCCCTTTGGTCTCCTTCCTACCTCCCTGGATCGACAACATCCAGGAACTTCTCAAACTTGGGCTCAGGTTCATCATCCTCCACCATGGGCAAGAAGTAGTTGAGTCCTCTCAGACAGGACCGGAAATCTTTGTGACTCAAGCGCCCTGTCAAATTCTCATCAAAATGTCTGAAAAACAAAAACATCTTATCAAGTTTCATAGAGAACCAGATAAGAATGGAAAAGAACAGTTCTTGTTGGATTGGCTGAGGCTTTAACATGTCAGAGGGCATCAGAGGACTGAGTGGAGAACTTGCCTGTGTTTCTGCATGATTTTTAACCCAGTAGATGGAGCAAAGACAGTAAAATGTGAAACATGAGAGAAATGTATTTTCTAAAGTCAAGGAATTCTCAGAGACATATTAAAAGCCATGACATCAAGCTAATTAATACAACTACATTCTTCATTTATGATCTTACCAAGCCACACTAAGGAGAAAAATTAGTTATGTGGAGATTCACTCTGAATGGGTTGGAAAACAAAGAACAGATCGACTATGAAGATCTACTCACTTATAGGTTGTGCTAAACTCCTTCAATGTCTCCTCACTCACACCTATGGTGTCTCTGAAAGGAAAAAAAATGGATTAACTCATGAAATAAAACAGAAAAACACCAGAAGACTTGCCATGTGGAATGGAGAGGGATGTCCGCGGATAATATGCTACTCAGATCATCTAGTTCAGGGCTTGGCAAACTATGACCCATGGGCCAAATCTAGTCTTCCATTTGCATTTGTAGAGTTTAATGGGCTATGGGTGGTATTCATCTCTTTACAGGGTTGGAAATAATTAAAAGAAGAAGTGTTTCATTCAACATAAAAGTTGCATGAAATTCAAATTTCAGTGTCCATACATAGAATTTTATTGGGATATAGACACACTCCTGAACTTGTGGGTTATTAATAGCCCTTTCTCTCTACAACAGCATAGTGAGTAGTTACAACAGAGACCGCATGGCTCTCCGAGGCTGACACATTTATAATCAGTCTGTTTACAGGGAAAGTTTGCCAATCCCTGATCTAGAGATTATGCTGTCATTATCATCGAGACCAAAAGCTGCTTTGATGTAATTAATTTATGTAGAAAAACAAATGAATTCTGCTCTTCTGGCTCTCCACCTTGAATGTTTCTTGCATTCTAGACATCTGAGACAGACTTGTATAAAAGGGATTGCTTCCTGAAGAGATCACATAAGACGAAAGAACTCTAAGAGCCAGATGGTGAGTAGCTTCCGGGGGATGGGGCTCTGTCTCCTGTCTCAAAATAGATTCCCATAGAAAGAGAAATAGTCATTCTGGGAGCAAGAGAGAGAGAGAGAGAGAGAGAGAGAGAGAGAAAGAGAATATTGATTCTGAAGATGGTGTGTGTCCTATCTCTGAAGCAGCTCCTTTATACAGTACCCCAAACTCTAGCCCTTGGGGCTAAGTTCCTGACACCTAGTAACACCCACACCCTGCCCAGCCCTGGTCATGGGTCCACAGTACTTGGCTTGGATCTGTTGTTCCAGGTTGTGCTGCATCCGCATTCCCAGTTGGTGGAGCTGGTCCCACTGCTGGGCCAGCCCGATGGTGCTTTACTTGATGTCCAGGACCAGAGCCTCCTCTAAATTGTCTCCCAGATCCTCAATCTTGGTCAACTGGCGCTTCATGGCCTGAATCTCCTTCTGTTTCCGCTGGAGAAGACAGAAAAGGAAAGAGCAGTCACACAGGGTAGCTCCAAACCAAGGGATGGTAGAGCTGATGAGTTTGGGTTTCCTTTGATTGGTCCTTCTTAATTATTTTCAGGCATCTTCCTGTCCTCTGTGAAAAATGAACTACTCAGGAAATCCACTTCTGTATTCCTTGTTTATGCGATGGTGGGGAGGTTAAGTGATGCAACGTCTGTCATTCTGGACATCTCTAATATATAAATCTAAGAGTTAGTGGTTATGTGCTACAGGAGAAAGGACTAGCATTTCCAGGATGCCTGTGTGGCTGGCTCCCAGTCATCCATGCCACGAGTTATCCACACTGGGGATTGTGGCCAACTCACGTCTCCCTACAGATGCGTGGGCAGACTTCCCCAGGATTTGGCTTGTTGTCCTGGCACATTAAAGGCCATGCTTTCTCAACAGGAAGTAGTTCTCCTGACTTGGGGAGGAGTGGCTGGGTTCTGAGGTGAGGGTGGGTGGACATAATGTCTTACCTCGTACAGTGGTTTGCGGCCCTCCAGTGATCACTGGTACCTGACAACATCTGGCTCTTTATTACTGAAGTTCTCTCATTAGGGAGTAATTAGATTTAATTAATTAAGTGTTCCCCTTGAAGTGGGGCTTCACTCAACTGTTGAGAGATGCTCTAATTCAGTTGTATTGTCTGCCCATGTCAAATGATAACAGTAATTGGGGAATGCTGCAATTGTAGGCTAGGAGTTTCTGCATCTGTTATTATTCTTTTTTTTTTTTTTTTAGTTTATTTTTGAGAGAGAGAGAGACGGGGAGAGAGAGAGAGAGAGAGAGAGAGAGAGAGGACATGCACGTGGGTGCGCAGGCATGCACAGGCCCCGGGGAGGAGCAGAGAGGATCTGAAGGATCTGATGGGGACAGAAGATCTGAAGTGGGCTCCATGCTGACAGCAGACATCCCCACACAGCGCTCAGACCCACAAACCTCGAACCTTGAGATCATGACCTGAGCTGAAGTCAGACGCTTAACTGACAGCCATTCAGGTGTCCCCGTTCTCATTCTTAATCATCACAATGACCCTATGATGTAGGCATTATGAACTCCATGTATAGCTACAGAAATTCAGGTTCAGACATTGAAACAAACTGATATCCTTGTCCATGAAGTGGCAGTCAATGGTTATAATGCAAATTGCTGGCAGGGTTGGGGCTAGAACCTCAAGCTCTTGACATCCAGGCCCAGGAGTTTACCTAAAAGTACTACTGGTTCTCCTTGCACTCCTTGTAATTTCCGGCAATATCCTCGGCTAATAAGCAAACATTACTTACTTTATTTGCTTCCAACTGGGATTCCAGTGTTCCTGTTTCTTTGAGCAAAGACCTAGTTATGAACCAGAGGAAAATGTTACTCATCATATCAGAGGTCAATATTTCACCCAGACAGACTGATTCGGACACACTACATTTCTCTACTTCTATATTTTATTGTATGGTCTCTTCAAAATGAATTTTCACAACAGATTTTCATGAAACCAAACCCTTCTGTCAATTAGCAAGTTGCTGGACAGATGAGAAGAAAAGGAAGGTCTGTTCTCATTCTTCTGTGCCTTACAGAAGGCTGCCATCCCCTTCCTGCTGCCCGCCCCACCTCATTCTTACTCTTGAATACACCCTTAACCTAACGAAGGTAAGTCTCCCCCTAGTGGGGTGCAGGGCAGGATGCTTTACCCTGTGCTTCTCTTCCCACCGCATGCTTCCCCTAAGGTGTCATCTCAGTCTGATGGTGATGATGACACAGATGCCCCATGCTAAGTCCTCCTGAAGTGACTGTTCAAGAGTCATATAATAAAACAAACACGGTAACATAAAATACTGACCCATCCAGAAAATAAGCCCTGGGCGTGGAGGTCAGGAGCAGGAATCAGAAGAGATAAAAGAGAAATCACAAGTTAACATGGATTACTTCAATGATCTTCTTTCCTCAGGTCTATGATATATCTAAAATCCTCTTTAACCAGTGTTTCACACCGTCCCCAGAGTCTCTCCCACTCGGAAGAGCTCAGAGCCTCAATTCAGCTCCTCGTGTCCTAGGATGAAGAGCTGTCAGCTGTCAGATGACCGTGCTAGGTGTCAGGCCCTTGCTGCTGGGGGTGGGGCATTGGTGGTAAGGACCACATCAGAGGCAGAGGATGAAACATTTCGCTTCTTCTGCCTTCTGTCACATGAGTTTTGGCTATGACGCAGGATTTCTTTTGGCTCACTGTCTGGGCTTTCCTCGTTGTGTTTGTGGGAGCCGTGTATATCATGGATTGTATAAACCACCACTTTGACCACATTTCTGACCCATCTGCTGGATACGGCCTACAAACTTTGACATTTATTCTAACGTGTTACACCTTCTAAGTCTCTTCTTTTCCAGGTCATTTGCCCTGGAAGATGCGACAAATGTTATTTTCACCTATAGGACATTCTGCATTTAATAAAAGCAGTCAGCTCTTATTATCTCACTGATTTTCACCACGATTTTGTTTCGTTTTGTTTTTTAGCAATGGGGCAGCCTGAGAGCTTCATAGCAGGTGTTCACAGTAGGCTCTGCCTTTGGTCGTGCCCATAAATATATATGTGACCTGGAGCAAATAAACTTGTCTACAGATCTTCTTCCCACACTTGGAGACGCCCACGCCCAGAGCTTATCAAATCTGCTCTGTACAAATTTCAAGGTCACTCTGAGAGTTGAGGGAGGTAATGGATATAGAAGCACTTTGTAAAGTGCAAACATAAGGGACTGCTATGATTTCTAGACTTTAGTTACAGGTAACAGGGGAAAATGAGATCATCAAGGAGAGAACATGGAAGGATATGAAATTCTCATTTCCTGATTTTGTAAGGACTGATTTAGAAAACCATCAATTCCAAATGAAAAGCACAGACAGGATCTGGTGATTCTAAAACAACACACACGTTGTAGGACCCCCTCCTACTCCCCTCAGATACACTTTTCGCCGCCCTGGCGACACAAGGATCATGGATTTGGGGGCGGCACCATGCACCTGGTCTCCAAGATCCACTGAAGGAAGGCGCTAGCATTCTGCTCAAACTCCTGGCACATCTCAAAGTTCTTGACCTGTCTCTCCTCTTCCTTTTGCAGCTCCTGCTCCCGTTCCTAAACTCCAAATCACAGAGAGTGGTGTGAACATTGAAGATCTTTCTTTGTAGTAAAATAGCTGGTGTCTAGCTATTCTCAGCTGTACATCCCCTCTCCCCCTGATCTAACAGAACATGTGCTCTGTGCTCCTATGTCATCCCACCCACCTCTTCTCGCCTCCGAAGAGGAAGGAAGCTCCCATCATGCCCTGTAAGTACTTGCAGGACATCTTTAAGACCAAGCCCAGTGACAAATAAGCTAGTAATAAAGGCAAATCATCTCTCTTCTCACTTTTTTGTCTGGTGAAATTTTCATTTAAATGAACATAAAAGCAGCCTTTTAAGGGAAAGCAGTCTTTTTTTAGGGAAAGGAAGTAATGAGAGTTGCCATCTAAAATTGGTGATATTTTCATGAAATTTCTGTTGAGCTTTTTAATATTTTCCATAGTTTCTATGATGAATATCATTTTAGACAAACAAAAACTAAATACAAACACATAAAAAAGGCACTTTGGAGATATGTATAAAATGAATGCCTTGGATGGGGAAATTCTGTAGACTGTGGGCATATATACGAGTCTTGCGAACTTTTCATAGCCCATTTTTACAGCCACCTCCTGGAGCTTGTGTTTGCTTCCATGAATCACTGCTCAAAACCCAGAAGCATGAGGGTGTCTGAGTGTAGGGCTATACCTTACTGTGAACATATTTCCAAAACTTTCTTAGACAGATTCCATTCATGACTGCTGTCCCAACGTGGTTATTAATAGTGTCCTTTCTTTCTCAAAAGGCCCCCCAACGTGTATAATAAATTAGGTGTTCACGCTCACCCCAGTGAAAGGAAGTCTCTGCCGGGTGCTGTTACCTTGATGATGTCATGTAGATGCCTCCAGACCTTCTCTAGCACCTCCATTGTCAACCAGGTATAAGGGCTGGAGGGCACATCTAAGGCCTTAATCTGCTGGTTTAGCTCCAGCAAATGGTTGAAGTCGGACTGGACCCCCACCAAGGAGGCCAGGAAGACCTCCTGGTCCTTCTGCAGCTGCTGAATCTCGTTCAGGGAGACACAGTGCACAGGCTCTGAGAGGTCCTCCTCGGCATTCTCACACCAGTGGTTGAAAGCAGAAGCTTTGTGTGCAAATTCCATGAACAGCTCCTCAGCCTGCAGAGGAAAAAGTTACCTCCATCTTGCCCGGTAAAGCCCCTCGGCCAAAGAGAAAACTGAGGCTATAAAAAAGAAAAGTGGTCATCTTCAACTATTATGAGGGTCAGCACGGCAGGACGGCAGCACTGAAAGCGCCGAGGACCATGTGCTCAGCAGGCAGGCAGGCGAATTTGAGGCCTGGAGCCCCGGTGTGAGACTAGTCAAGGCCTCCGTCCTCTACAAGTAAGGAGGCTGACGGACTCTTAGAGTTGTCTTAAATACAAGAGTCCAATAGAAGCAGGGGCCATTTTCAGGCATAAGATTTCATGATTTTTTACTCTGAAGGCTGTCTTCCAGTTCTACTTGGCACACAAGAAACATGCACACATCAGTGTTAAGTGAATGCACGGATGAACGTGTGAATAAGCAAATCATCTGTGGGATAGGCCAGTCTATCCACACCTCTCTGATGTCTCTTTGCCTGTACTGAGTTCTTTTCCTGCCTTCCTTCTAGAACTTGTTCAGGGCTCAGCTCATGCTTGAAGCCCCTGCTGAAACCCAGCTCTGCTGGGAGCTGCACCGGCCTCACTGGATGTCAGTCTCAGCGAGGAAATGGCAGTGTTTGCACAGCTCCTGCCATGAGAAACGAAAACTGGTATCTCCTTCTGCTACTACTGACTCATGTTGGAAATGAGCCTGAGGGTATTGACCAGGCCTCACAATATTCCAAATCAGACTGATATTCCCCACACAGATTCCTCATAAGGAAAAGCATATTCCTGCCTCTTCAAAAGAGATTTTAGATGAAAGCACTGTGGATGATTGTCAAAAGGCTCCTCCTATGGGCCTTGCAGATCCAAGACTTAGGGGGTTAAGAACACAAGAGTTACAATTGAGCCTGGCTCTGAGACTAAGAGCCTAATTTAGAATTAAGGAACAGATAAAGGCAGAGCTTAAATTAATACTTAACACCTTTTCTAACTGGTGAAGTATGACAGTCCCTTCCCTAAGGCCTACTTTCCGCAAACACCCTCCCTTACTCTGGCAGCTGGGATGAGGATAGATAAGAGTAGCTACAACATGACCCAAAAAAGAGGCCGACACGTTTAAGGCCTCCATGGTGTTTACACATTCAGCATCAAGTCCAAAAAGTTTCCACAAACAATTTATTAACCAGCTCAAAACCATTCGTCCTCTTGTGAGCCAGACAGAATGACTCCTAGCCTGTCTATATACAACTTAACCTATGTCCTAATCCTAGTGTTATTAACTTAGAACAAATATGTATGTCATATTGTTTTTCACTAAGAACATCCTGTTATTTCCTTAGTTGTAAGATTTACCCAACCTCACTATGATTGGGGTAATTCTGCAAGAATACTTCCAAAAAACCCGTTTTTGTACACTTTTCAAAGTAACTTATCACAAAGAGTAAAATTCCTTTTTCTGATGCCATGTTATCATTTGACCTATAAATAAAGACACCAAAACTGTCAGTGTGGAGATGCCTGCCTGGTGATCAGGAAGAATCTTGGGGCTCTCTCACTCTCTCTCGCCGACACCATCCATCCTTCATGGACCCCTGGACTGGCTGGAGCGAGTCTCCAGCACAGCTCCCACCCTCTGATCTGTACCCTTACTTCTACATCATGTCTGGAGTTCTCCATATGCTTTCATGACTCCAAATTGTCTGAATCTCTGAACAAGAGAAATAGTATGGACTGTTCCAAACACTGGGTGATCAAAAGTAGTTTTAGATTTAAAAGATATCATAGATTTGGGGCACCGGGGTGGCTCATTCAGTTGAGCATCTGACTCTTGATGTCAGGTCAGATCATGGTCTCGCATTGTGGGATTGAGCCCCACATCGGGCTCTGTGCTGACAGAGTGGAGCCTGCTTGGGATTCTCTCTCTCTCCCCCCCTCTGTCCCTCTCCCATACTCTCTCTCTCACTTTCCCTCTAAAATAATTACATACATACATACATACTCAGCAGTTTATACTTTCCAAGAGATTTATCTTAGGCAAATATAAAAATGAGGTTTCATCCCCAAATATGGAGGTTAAAGAGGAAAAAACTGGCCTAAATGGAAGAGGGTTTACAAAGGTTTTACACCATTACATCTTACCCTGTACTCACTTCGGTATTGTATATGCTAAAATAGACCAGTATGGAGAAATTGACATGGCCTCTATACAGGAAAGATACAAAAACCTATAAAATACTTCCTATTACTTTTGGAATATTATGGATCAACTTGGTATTTTACAAAGATGTTATAATCAGAAAATAAAATAACAAATCTCTTTGCAGTTTGAAAATTAAGCAAAATAGAATCAGAATGTAAAGCATCTTTCTATCTCGAATGCATATATGTGTGTAAAGTTGCCCATGAACTGATTTGATTTTTCACTTGAGATTCATTTCTGTAGGTTCCATAGCAATAGAGTAATTAGCTAAGCATCCACACTGACTGATATTTGTCTGTGCGTTTGTTTCCTAATTCCCCTGCCTGCCTTAACTTGCTGCCCAGTACAATACTTCTTATGGTCTAGGAGTGCTCAGTAATTTCACTGGTCGTCCTGGCTTCCTTTTATTATTGGTATTTTTTATAACCAGCATCCAGTACCTTAGTGGCCACCATTAGAAAGAACATTGTCATCACTTATAACTACATAGAACTTAGTGGTTTGCACTCCATTTTCAGATCCATTATCTCTGTTAATAGTCACAACAGACCAGCAGGAAACAGCGGTAACATGATCCAGCTTCATAAATGGAGGAATCAAGGCTCAGAGATGTTAAGGGACATATACAAGGTCTCCCAGCTAAGAAAAGTCAACACGAGATGGGAACTCAAGTTTTACTTGTCGAGTGCTCCTTTTATCTGGATTAGAAAAAAGCCCAAGGACAGCCTTACCTCTTGCGTGCCAGTTTAGTGCTTCCAAACACTGGGACCTTCCACCCTTTGACCCAGCTACCTCTTCTACTACATGTGCCTGGCTTCCCTCTCAAGTCAGCTGGATAAGTGACAGATCAGTCTTAAAACAAACAAACAAACAAACAAACAAACAAAAAATCCCATCCTATCAATCTAAAAAAACCCACCCAATTACTTCTTGTTCAATAAGAATCCCTTCCTGATCCTTTCCATGCACTCACTCAAATGTCTCTAGATTACCCGAACACAGTTTCCAGTATCTATTTCTGGATTCCATGGCTAATATAATATACAGGTAGTGGACGCCTGATTATGGCTCTTTTTTCTTTTTAACCTTCTTTAGGGGCAGCTGCTTATCCAGCAAGTTCTGTCTGTGGGCTGCGGAGGCTTCCAGCATCCCTTCCCAGCGCCGCAGCAGGGCAGCATGGCGCTCCTCAATGGCTTTGGTCTGGCTGTGCTGAGCGGCCACCAGCTGGTCCTTCAGGTCAGTTATGTCTGACAGCCTGTCTTCCTGGAAGCTATGTAGACTGGCATCCAATGTGTCCTGGAAAGACCCAGAGAGGAGCTGTGAGAGGAGAAACAAGGCAGATTCCCAGGGGCCAGTCACACCTGGGTTCTACCAAATCTTTTATCCTGGACCAGACAAGGTCTAGGAAAGGATGAGAGTGATGACCAAGCAGAAGGAAACAACCTAGTGACTTACATGAATGTCTGTGGTTGAGAGTATGGCTGAGTTCTGGTGGATGTGTGTCTTATAATCAGAACTTAGGTTAGGTGTAAACTTAATATTAAGGGAATATTGGAGCATGGTATGATCTTCCATATTTCTTGAGTCAAAACTAAATGCTTCCTACAGCTCGCATCCTTTCTAAGACTCTGTTACATCCTCCGTTAGATTTTGTGCTCTGATTGGTAGCAGACAGTGCTCTATCAGAGACCTTGGAGGTATACACACTGACAACAGACCTCTTGCAGGGCTTGGTTGTACGATGATTCATGTGTGAGAGCGTGTGCGTGCACACGTGTGTTGTTGATATCAGCATTGCAGAATTCTGGATACTGGACTTCCAGATTTGATAGGGTGGCTTGTATATGACTAATTCCCCCTTTGAGAGCAACTTTAACTGCTGGATAAAAGTACAAAACATCAACTGTTTGAAAGAGATCAGAATGCAACTCAGGTAACTACACCTGAAGGGATCCAAATTCTAGAGAAGAGGAAGCAGAATTAAGGCCAGAGTAATAGTCTCTGCAACCTTTCCCTATGACGTGCCCCAGGTCAAGGGGTTGAGGGCAACACAGCTTCTCAGAGCTCTTGATAATCTCAGGAAGCAGAAGAGATGATTTTTGGGGAACTGGGAAGCCAGGGTGGGAAAAGAATTGCAGAAAAAAAGGTTCAATATTTTGCCCTTTTCCTCTCCAGGCGTCGATGGGTTCCTAAACTCTACTGGCCACGAGTCCTGGAAGCCAAGCAGAAAGAGTAACAAAGAGTAAAAAATGCTAAGTAGGCTCCTAACTAATCTCCTAGAGCTGAGTTGAAAACACCAAAAGGGGAAGCCCCAGTGAAAGGCTTTTAGTTAAACTCTTGAAGGGCCTGAGGAGTAAGAGCCAATGAAAAAGGCAAGTCCTCAAAAAAAAAAAAAAAGAAAAGAAAGAAAGAAATTATATCTCGAATTATTTCAGTTCCTGACCAAAAAGTAGGGGTTGGACGAGAGATGGAAGTGTTAAATTGTAAACGAGTAAATATTCATCAGTTACATTACTTTAAATGTAAATAGACTCAGGGCGCCTGGGTGGCCCAGTCAGTTAAGCATCTGACTTTGGCTCAGGTCATGATTTCGTGGTTCGTGAGTTCGAGCCCTGTGCCAGGCTCTGTGCTGACAGCTCAGAGCCTGGAGCCTGCTTTGGATTCTGTGCCTTCTTCTCTTTCTGTCCTCCCCCACTCACGCTCTGTCTCTGATTATCTCTCTCTTTCTAAAAAATAAATAAACATTAAAAAATTTTCAAATGTAAAGAGACTCACCCGTCCAATAAAATGATCAAATTAGATAAATAAAGCTATCCCCACTGTGAAATTTATAGGAGATTCATCTAAAATATAAAGATACTCTGCACATCTATGTTTATTGCAAAATTGTTCGCATTAGCCAAGATTTGGAAACAACCTGAATGTCCGTCAACAAATAAACAGATAAAAAAGATGTAATGTGATGTGATGTGTATGTGTGTATAAAATGGAATATTATTCAGCCACGAGATGGAAAAAATCCTGCCATTTGTGACAATGTGGATGAAACTTGAGAGCATATGTTAAGTGAACTAAGTCAGATGGGGAAAGACAAACACTGCTTGATACTGCTCACAAGTAGAATCCAGAAGAGCTGAACTTCGAGAAACAGAGTAGACTGGTAGTTGCCATGGGCTGGAGGGTGGGGAAGATGGGAAGTACTGGTCATAGGATACAAGCTTCCAACTAAAAGACTGGCTAGTTCTGGGCATCTCATGTAGAACATGATGATTATAGCTAATAGTCTTGTATTAAATACTTAAAACTTAAGAGAGTAGATCTGAAATGTTCTCAGAAGGGGCAATTATGTGATAGGATGGAGGTCATCTAGTGCTACAATGATGCAGAACGCTAATCATTTTGCATTCTGTACATGTATCAAATAAATAGCAAAAAATATAAAATATAAAGACATAAATGTAAAAAAAAAAGAAAGAAAACAACCAAAGGATAGAAATAGATATAGACTGCAAACACTAAACAAACAAACAAACAAACAAAAAACACTGGTACTCTAGAATGTGAAAAAGAAGACTTTAAGTCAAGAAATGTTATTAGAAAGAACATTTCATAATTAAAAGTATTTCACTCATCAAGCAGACTTATAATTCTAAATGTCAACACAACCTTTAACTTACGTTCAGAATGTATAGAAATAATGAAGTATTTAAACAACATGATTAACAACCAAAACCTGACAAGTAACAAAAACTTGCAAAATACACATTCTTTTCGACTGTACGTAGACTATTTACTGAAACAGACTATTTTCTAGATGTAAATCAAGCTTCTAAAATAATATGGAGTGTGTTTATAAAACAAAGCAGAATTAGACAAGATTTAAATGTCAAAAAAGATAGTAAGACAATTTCCAAATGTTTGGAAATTCAGCAAAATACACTATGGAATAAGCAATGGGTTAAATAAGAAATTAGATATGACAGAAGCATTTTAACCGAGTGATAATAACAAAAGTAACATGTGAAATTGTGAGGTGCCGCTAAAGCTTTACTTAGAGGGAAATTCATATCCTTATATCAAAATATTAGAAAAAGAGAGTGGCTAAATATTTGACAATCTAAATATCCACCTCAAGAAATTTCTTTAAAGAAATAAATTAATCCCAAGGAAAGTAAACGAAAATGAGAACGATATAAAAAGGTATTAATGGGGTATAATACAAAGACATAACAGAGAAAAAATGAAAAAACCAAAGTTGGTTCTCTGATAAAAAATGATGAGCACTGGAGCACCTGGGTGGCTCAGTCAGTTAAGTGTCCGACTTTGGCTCAGGTCATAATCTTGTGGTTCATGGGTTCGAGCCCCACGTTGGGCTCTGTGCTGACAGCTCAGAGCCTGAAGCCTGCTACAGATTCTGTGTCTCCCTCTCTCTCTGATCCTCCCCTACTCACGCTGTCTCTCCTCTCTCTCTCTCAGACATAAACATAAAATATTTAAAAAAAATTTTTTTAATGAGGAGCACCCAGCAGCCGCAGGACTGTGGGGAGGGAGAGAGAGAAAAAACTGGCAAATTACCAATATCAGGAAGAGAAAAAGGAACAACATTGCCGGTCCTGCAGTCAATAGAACCACAGAATTAGGGAATGGAATAATCCTAGTGTTGATCTTCCATGCATGTGTGCTGTGACCCCACCGCACCTGCGCACAGGCAGCCCCATTCTCACCTGCTTTGCCAGGAGAGCAAGCGACGCGGCGAGGTCTGTACCATTCCCATTGGTCTTTAGACTTGCTTCCTTCTCAGCTAGAGAGCAAAGGCGATTAGTTAGAGGGGAAATATAGTTGCTCCTGAGTCAGCTTTGGTAAGGAGAAAAGGAGTGTTCACTACAAGCCGTAGGAGAGCCTCTTGACCCTGCGAGTGAGTCATTTATTGGAGTTTGGGAGCAGTGGGGGCCAATAGGTGGTCTCTTTGAACTTATGTGGTGTAGAACTGCCTGGAGCAGGGTTAGAACCAACACTTCTGGGTGATTTGGAAAACAAAGGAAAAAAGTAGTCAAACACACTATTTTCTTTAGAATGTTTTGCCATGACTCTGTCTTTCTGAATATCACACGTGATATTCCCCAAATCCCCAAAAATGTGTTTTCTGGAATTCTGGTCCTCAATCATGCCTCAACACATTTTTGGGAGGGTGGGGGGGGACGTGTGTGTGTGTGTGTGTGTGCACAGATGCATGCACATGTGAGTGTAACTGTGTCCAGAAAGGGTAGGAGTGGGTGATGAGGGACCATCTCTCTTCTCACTAGAAGTGAGAAAACCCCAGAATCTTTCTATCGATGGAATTTACCAGTATTTCTCACACCCAAGGACCTTGGTTCTCAAATGCCATACCTATCCAGGCCTCCACCACATCAGCCTTCCAGTTGAACTGCTGAAAGTCATAATCATCTTCCAGTTGCAACTTCCAAGCAGCTATTGCCTTAGTCAGAGAGGGGACTTTTTCATTCAGAGTCTGTATCTTGGTGGAAATCTGCTCAATGTGTTGACTTCTCTCCTGAGACCCCAAGATGGAGGGAAGTTAGGAACAGATATACATTGGTGGATGTTCAGGGCTAGAAATTGGAATTCTTTAGTATGATAAAAAAAAAAAAAGGTAGTATCTCTGTCATGACAAACATGCAACTATTCTCCTCTGGGACCACTGCAGTTATTGTGTTATTGTATTTTTGATCCATGCTGGGAATGGTTATTTCCACTCTGGCATTTAGGAGATCTTCTCATGTGGGTCCCCATAAGTGTGACCTTCTTAGTTGGAATCCTCTCTGTTTGAAGTTCTTTGTAGAGTGCTTAGATCAGTGATGGTTTGTAAAAACAAGCATTTAAACCAAAGAATGATTCTCAAATTACAAACAGGGTTTCAGTGTGGTTCTCCTCCCTACAGGTGCACAAAGAAACTTCTTTACATTTTTACACAACTCTGTAACCAAAACACATGATACCTATAAACGCCTTACAATGAGTAAGAGGGCCAACAAAGGAATTAAGGAAATCAGAAAGATATGCCTATAAGAACTTGATAAAAGCATTTCCAAAAAACAGGGACTGAATAGATGATTATTTGCTCAGAACAACAATAAGGTAGCTAGGAAGAGATTACTAAAAATCTGATGCATGATTTTAGCACTGCTCATGATTCAATATTTGGACCAATCCCTTTTGGAAAATGAACTTGGCCTGGAATGCCAGTTACTCACCTTATTCAAAATGTCTTCTCCTTGACTACACACATCTTGTACTCGGGTCTCATGGACAGCAAAGTCATTTTCCAATGTTTCGTGCTTCTTTAGCAAGCTCTGTGGAAATGAGTTAGTGAGAATTGACACAGCCAAGCCTGGACAATCTAACCACCCCCCTCCCATATTTTCATTCCCATTGATGCTACCCACAGGGATGATTTGGCAACATTAGGGGAGCATCCACTTCTTCCTGCACAGAGCCACTAAATGCACTAAATTGTCCAAAAGGGCAATCCTACCAGAAAAGAAAGAAGTAAAAGAATACAGTGACACTGTTTCTAACTTACTATGGTGAACTTAAGCTTTTCTGGACTTTTGAATGAGAGTGTTGGTCAAGGTAATTCATATGGATTCCTCCATTTTGAAATGTATATATTCCATGAAATGTTGTATCTAGCAGAAAAATAAGAAGTATCATCCTGTACTTGGAATGGATGTAAAAGCAGGTAAAGGGGACACTGAGCTGTTTTGAATCTCAGTCTTGAACTTCTCTGGGCCTAACTGCTGCTGGTAGGAGAGGGAGAGGAGTGCAAGCGAAGCCCAGGAGTGGTATGTCTCCTCCTTCTTTGTATTCTCCTGAGTGTTCTCCAGACCAGCCAGCCCTGCCCACCGCCACCCTCCATCCACAAGGGCCTGGGTTGGATCAGGTCTCATGGCCTGGTCCTGTCCACGTTTCCTTCTACATCGCATACTAACCCAGGCTACAGAAAGAAACGGATTTTGTGTAACTAATACACTTTTTAACTCCCACATTTTGAAAATAAAAGAATTTAGGATACAAGGTGTTCTTAGGCATTAAAATAAGATGGTTATTTCTTTAAATACAAGAAGGGCTACATGGTATTGGATGACTGTATTATATTTCATCTTTATGCAGAAACTATACATGGAGATTGGATACTGATCCACAAAATAAGATAGACTGATTTAGCCATGTTTCATACGTACATAATGCATGAAATAAAATCTCTTTAACCTCATCTTCTGTTTCCAATCTCTTTTCTGTGTTCCTCCTTGGACACTTTGGACAGCTCAGGTGCCTCACATCTAATACTGTTTCCTTTAAATAAATTCTAGGTGTCTCTCCTTCAAATATATTCCTAAGTCCTAAGTAGCCTCCTCAATGTTGTGTTAAAAGTTGACAAAGCCCGGGGTGCCTGGGTGGCTCAGTCGGTTGGGAATCCGACTTCGGCTCAAGAGATCTACGGTTCGTGGGTTTGAGCCCCGCATCGGGCTCTGTGCTGACAGCTAGCTCAGAGCCTGGAGCCTGTTTCAGATTCTGTGTCTCCCTCTCTCTCTGACCCTCCCTTACTCACATTCTCTCTCTCTCTCTCTCTGAAATAAATAAAACATTAAAAAAAAAATTGACAAAGCCAAAGCTTAAAAACATACTTTAAATAGATCTATTATGGTTCTTGTAGTTGTAATAAGTTGATTAGAAATATCTTCTCTTCTCCTCACATGTTAAACAGAGGGAGAATATGATATTGAGGGAAGGAAATCTAAATTCAACAACAGGTAGGCAACTCTTTTATGTTAGCCAATCTATGTGAGTCCGGAAACCCCAAAACTCAGAGGACCAATTTTTTTCTTCATAAAAGATGGCATAGACTGGGTAGGTGGATAGGTATCTTAAGGCAATATTGAGGATTATTAATAATAAAGCCTCATAAAATATTTTCCTGGAATTTGTATGTTAGTGCAAAAACTTTTCATTAAAACTAGTCTTTGAATGTGATGGTCCAAGTGTACTTATTGAAAGATCAAGATTGACTCAATGGATTTAAAATGTGACCCAACTATATGCTGTCTACAAAAGCTGCATTTCAAATAGAACAGCATGGGTGGGCGTGAAAGTGACAGACTGGCCCACAGTGAAGGACACCTGTGGAACAAAGAGCCACTGGAGAGTCACAGGCCCAAAGATGAACCTCACCCTCGGTCTCATCTCAGACAACAGTGAGCTCAAAACGGATCATGGACTTAAAATGAAAATGTTAATCTCTAAACTTCTAGAAAAAGACATAGGAGAAGATTTTCCTATGATCTTAGGCTAGGCAAAAAGTTCAGATTTGACACAGAAGCGCAGAAGGTCAAGAGTTAAAGCAAACCAACATTACACTGAAGAAAATACACGGATAGCCAAGAAGCACATAAAAAATTAGCCATTCAGGAAATGAATATTAAAACCACAATGAGATACACTCCACTCTTATCAGATTGTGTAAAATAAAAATGGTGACGATACCAACTCTTGGCAAGGATGTGCAAGGGGCTGGCATCACTCATGCTGCCAGTGAGGGGGTAAAATGGTACAGCCGCTCTGGAGATGGTTGAACCTTTTATATTTTTATGTATTTTTTTTTTTTACAGAACCAAATACGCAGTTTATCCTACTGTGTTTGAATTCCTGGATATTTATTCCCAATAAATGAAGACTTATGTTTACATGGAAGTCTCTGCATGGATACTGACAGCAGCTTTGCTTATAACAGCTCCAAAGTGGAAATAACCCAGATATCCTTCAACAGGTGAGTTATTAAACTGGTGCATCCATGGCATGAAATACAACTCAGCAAAGGCAGTGAATGAACTGTTGTTACACACAACCTGAGTGAATCACCAGGGAACTACACTGTGTGAGAAGCCAACGGCCCAAAGTTACACACTATATGAGTTCATTTATATGGCATTCTTGATATGTCCAAAATTACAGAGGCGTAGAATAGATCAGAAGTTGCCTGGGATTAAGGACGGCGGGCAGAGGGAAGAGGGTGTTCTATAGGATGGTGATGGTGATGTGCTGCATTTGATTATCTCAGTGTTGAAGTCCTGGCAGGTATTACCATGGTAGGAAACTGTGTAAAACGTACATGGGATCTCTCTATATTGTTTCTTACAACTGCAATGGGTACCTACAATTCTCAAAACAAAAGGTTTCATTTTAAAAAGTGAAGCCGTGAGAATGTTTGATATGAAACCTTAAACCACTCATACACATGCAGTGTGTGCACATGTCCCAATAGACGTTTCAAATGAGAGGAGCTAGCAGTGGGAATTTTATGCCATGCAGGTTCTAAGCTTCCCATTGCCAGTGTGACCCTTCCCCTATGTCATCATGTAAGAGTGAATTAATCTCCACAGAGAATTCTTGGCAAATCCCTGTATTAAGGCTATGAGGCACAGACCTCAAGGTCCCAAGAATATTATTATCTTATCATCACTCTCTCAAAAGCCCTGAAAATCCACCTTAACTCAAGATCACTTGCTCATTTCTTTATTGGGAACCTCAAAATTGTATTCATAAGGGTATCTCTAAATGATAGAACTAGTCTACCTGCTAGGTTGCCCTTCTAAAATTATATTTTCTGTAAATTGCAACCAATGGCCAGGCATGCGGATGTTTCCAATTAAGCATGACATTAGTATGTGAGGGAATCTTTAGGAAACCTACCCCTATGAGGGAAGGCCTATAAGCACGAAAGCTTGAACTCATGGACAGATCTCAAATCATGGGACTGAGATATGAGTCTTTTCTTCACACCTGATTGATTCCATGATCTTGGGCAAGTTACTTACATATTGGACCTTGAATTTTATATTTAAAATTGGCAAGACTGTCCATATTTCCATCATCTTTTTCTCCCACCAAGTGAACAATACTTTCCATGGATGAAAATGTTGATGACTTAACAAAAGATTTAAATCAGGGGCACCTGTGTGGCTCAGTCGGTTGAGTGTCTGACTCTGGATTTCTGTTTAGCTCATGATCTCATAGTTCATGAGATTGAACCCCACATTGGGCTTTGTGCTGAGAGCATAGAGCCTGCCTGGGATTCTCTCTCTCTCTCTCTTTCTCAAAATAAATAAATAAACTTTTTTTAAAAAGAAAGAAAATATTCAAATCAAAAGGAAGAAAATCTATCATCCGACCTGTTACTCACCTGAGTAGCGGCCAGTGTGTCTCCAGAACCCCCTCGGGCAACCATAGCTTCCTTTTCACTGATCCAAGCTTCTTCCTCCTCTGCATTCTCCATGAACTTCAGGTATTCTAGGGATTCTTCTAGTCGGAGCCCTCTGCAATAGCATGGTAAGCCCCAGTGAGGACAGGGTGAAGCCAGCCCACAGGGGAATGTGCCGAGCAGCACAGCTCAATAAGGCAGACGCACAGGAAAATCTGATCTGAGCTCTTGTGAACAGGGGGTGCCCCGGCCCCAGATGTTCTGTTTTGTGGCATCACCTGCTCTCTGGGAATCTTTGCTTCTGGGAGGGAGCCTCGTCCAACTGGAGTGCCCAGTTGGAGAATGGCATCAGTGAACTAAGGTCTCTTCCTATTCTGTGCCCTTCCTCTTATACAGTGAAGGCACCACAAAATGCTAGAAGTTTCCTTGTACCCTCCAGCAAGACACATTTTCTTACTGCAAACAGCTACGGAATTATAGGCAGAAATTATTTGATGTGGCTCTCTGGCTATAAGGGAAGAAATCTACCCCCATTCTTTCATTCCTAGGGCTCCACATAGTGCCTAGCTTGGGGGGTGGGGTGGGTCATACAAAGGAAAACAGACCCAAGGAGCATGGCCAGGTGAGAAGGATGGCTGACACGTGAGGATAGCCATGATAGCTGTAAGTGAGCGCAGAAGCAAGTGTGCGGCCAGTTGGTGGTCATAGTGGTGGCAGCTGCCTAACCTCCTCCTGGGGTAAATGGGGGCAAGCTGAGTGCAACACTGACATCTGAACAGGGACTTTGGAGAGAAATAGAGCTGGGGAGCTGGGGAGAGTAGCCAGTGCTAAGCCAATGCCAATAACCCAAAAAGATAACAGCCTCCTATCCCCAACTCACCGAGTGCTGGCCAACTCTTTGAGCTTCTCCCATTGTTGAAAAAGATGAGCCAGGCGCTCCTGGATCTCCTCCCGTCCCACAGCAGCCTTGTCTCCCAGCCTTTCTGCTGCATCCAGAATATTCTGAAGAACACACCCCCAGGTCAGACTACTCCACAACTTCTCTCTCCATTTAGTCATCGTTCCCCACAGCAAGGTACCCAGCACTTCCTACCCTCCACATCATTTACAATCTCCCTGGTCCTTGGGCTGGTCCTGAAAATCTGGGAGAATGAAGACACTTGCAGTAAGGTCCACTGTGCTACATGTCCCCTCCGGTACCTCCAGTGCTCACACCCAGGCTACACTCCATGACCTGCTTTCTGGATTACTCAGAGTCCCAATGTCACCCTGCTGCCAAGCCAGAGCCAGACTTGTCTTCCGCCCTTATGGCTTAGCCAAGGACAGCTTTTCCAGATGTCCCAGCCTACATCCTAATCACCCACAACAGTGCCTGGGGTGATGAAAATGCCCCTTCCAGGGGAAATCATGGGTCCCTGCACAGAATCCATCTGTCCAAGGGGACAACATGCAGAGGAGGAAAGAACAGCTGTGAACTCCATTCCTAACTCTCTGGGAGCCTGCGGGCCACCTCCGTATGAGGCAGCATCACCCACTTCTCTGTGGCATGAGGGAAGGCTCGAGATCACCCCCTGCCCCCACTTCCTACCTGGATGGTGGGTTCGTGTGCCTGCAGTTCCCCTTCCAGGCGCTTGTGCTTCCTCAGCAGGTTCTGAACACTCTGCAGGTCCCTCCCATAGTCCTGGGAGCTCACTCGTAAGAGCTTCTCCCTGGGGCCAAGGAAGGACACCCAAGATGCAGTTTAGACATGTGAGGACATCCTACAGCAAGGGTTTTCTAAGGGTGGGTCTGTAGCTGGGGGAATGAGGACGCAGTAAATTCTGGTAAGCACAAAGATAATTAGTGCCAGAAGCTTTCTGCAAAACTCCTGACTTCGTCCAATTCAAATGAAAGTAACACACTGGGGGCACCTGGGTGGCTCAGTTGGTTAAGCGTCCGACTCTTGATTTCGGCTCAGGTCCCCATCTCATGGTTTGTAAGATTGAGCCCTGCATCTGGCTTTGTGCTGACAGTGCAGAGCCTGCTTGGGATCCTCTCCCTCTCTTTCTCCCCCTCTCTCTCTCTTTTGCTCTTCTCCCTCCCTGCTTGTGTGCTCTTTCTCAAAATAAATGAACATTAAAAAAGTAACATACTGATTCCCACTGTACCCATGGCTGTAACAGCCTTCCCATTCATTCCCTTGCCTGTCTACCAACACATTTTTTCTTCTTTGCATAGAACATATGCTAATGTGTCTTTTTAAAAAAAATCATATGAACATCTACATATATGACTTTCATGGATATATTATTTTTCTCTATTAATATCAGTAATGAATTTAGGTTGCATGGGTGTAAAATGTTGATACTATAGGAGTCATGGCAGCTGGATTGGTTCCAAGTGTAAAACGTTTGAACATCACCACAAAGCACAAGGAAAGGCTACACAGACAAGATTATATAATCTCATTGTTTCTAAGGTTTTCTAGGATGTCCTCCACGCTGCCCTATACACAACACGTCCCTCTAATTCATTGATGACCAGCGACAATCAGCAGATTTGTAGAAGAGGAGCACGATGAGGCAGGTTAAGTGGGAAATAGGGAAAATAATCTGATTTACTAAGATTTTCCCAATTGCCCCTTTTACAATGAAAGCAGAATTAGGAAGGAAACCACAGCAGGTCTTGTGTCCAGTTCAGTGGCACCTTTGACACACAGGATAAACAGGGAATAAGGACAAGGATGTCATCAACTGAGTAAGTTGTAAAGGCCCAGCTGTCTCTTTCTGATACTGCACATGCTATGAATCCTCTAGAACACACATCCAGGGTTTCTTAATTTTGTTCCCAGAATGAATGTGAATTGCTCCCCACTTCTCCAAGCCTGTCTCCTTCTGCCTGCATTCAGTGAGGGGATCTGAGAAAAACAAAACCAATGTTAAATTTAGGTTCAGGCAAACATGATTAGGAAGTAACACCAACTTCGAGAAGCAATGGCATGTTTCATTTCAGCACAAAATAGGAACCTTTTTAACAGGCAGTAGTACATACTCTATCCATGATTCCTCATCATCTAGATCCTGGAAGAACTGGAACAAGGCATGGGCCTCTTTCAGTTTTTCATGGTGTGCAGCCGCTAAGTTCTGGACATTCAGGAAGCGCTCATTGACATCATTCCTTTCCTCCACAATCTGCTCAACATTGAAAGTTCCACTGGACAGTAGATCAGTCGCCAACTCATTCAGTTCCTTGAGTGCATCCTAGAAAGCCCAGGTGTGCTCAGTGAGCAGAACAGCACAGGTTTTAAGTAGATTCCAGATTTTAACTACCACTGGTTCATGTTCAAATGCTGGGTCAAATAGATTGCTTTTTTTAAAGTTTATTTATTTTTGAGAGACAGAGCATGAGCGGGGAAGGGATAGCGAGAGAGAGGGAGATGCAGAATCCAAAGCAGGCTCCAGACTTTGAGCTGTCAGCACAGAGCTCGATGTGGGGCTCAAACCCACGAGTTGTGAGATCATGATCTGAGCTGAAGTCTGAAGCTCAACCAACTGAGCCACCCGGGCACCCCATCAGATAGATTGCTTTTTCAGATAATTTGATGATATGTTCTTTTAACTCAGATCAGATAAGGGTAAAGTGAGTAACAGGACTATATTACTTAAACTGTACATTTTGCCTTTTGGTGTTCTCCTCTGCATTTTTCTCCTTTCCCCAACTGGAAAGTGAGTGTGAGGAAATGTGCGTCCCCAAACAGGATGGTCCTCTTTACAGTAGGACTGAATTGGCAGATGGATCAATAGAAGTATTCGAGAAGAACTACACTACCATAACATTCCTAGGCTGGTCATGTCTGGAAAACACCCAGCCTGTTCTGCCTGTTTTCATCTAACTCTGCCCTTCTAGTGATGTCATGGTGGGGGAATATTATCATAGACTGTGAGATCATGACCTGAGCCAAAGTCAGACGCTTAACCGACTAAACCACCCAGGCACTGCTCATACTGAATAATTTTATATTATCAATTTTATTTGGTGACAGAGATATGCACATTCACCCAAGAGGACTGAGATTCCAACACCACTTACCTCTCGAGCCGACATCTCTGTTTCCAACAGCTGATGTTTCCTGAGCAAGTTTCCTGCCGAAGCCAAGTCCCTGGCCTGATCTTTCATGGCCAGCAGGGTCTCTGCCTGAAAAGAGAGGAATATGCAGTGAAGCTTCCAGATGAAAACAGTCCTTAAGGAGAACATTAGCAACCACGTCCCCCAACTTTCCCCAAGAGAGTCAAGGTAAATCCATTTAACGAACCACATTTATTAAGCTCCCATGCCCCACCGTGCCAGGTGCAATTACCTCTGAGAGCCAGAACTTAAAATCCTGGATGCCTGTGTTGAACCTCTGTTGGCGACTCGCTTCATTGAGCTTCTGTCCTTTGTCAATTGTTTTCTCAAGCAGGTAGTCCCACTGTCCCTTCAGTTCCTGCAGCTGTTCCTGACCCAAAGAACCCTGACGGTCACTATGGCCTGCGGGATCCCGAGTGCTGTGACAACTTGAAAGGTTATGGTAGGGGGCTAGGAGTTAGGGATTAGTCCAAGTTGGCCAGCACTTGAGTGCCAGACATTTTAAGCTAGTCGTGCTTAACTGGGTAAACAACAGAAGGTGCTGGAAGAAAGTCTGAAGAAAGGGCCCTGGGTTGCTTATATAGACTGAGGCCTAACTGGCAAAACCCTTGGCAAGAGGGATGGAAGATGTCAAGCCAGCATGATATCATTTGGGCATTAAGCCTAAGGCTTTCTCAGAGTTTGACAAAAGCGATAAGGTCTGAGCGTCACAGTTTTCTCCCTTCTTTTATGCGGCAGCCGGAGGGAAGACTGTTAACCACAGGACACGCTCCACATCCCTACCCACAGAAACTCTGAAGGAGGAAGAGGTTTCTTTTCATGAGCCTTTTATCCCAAACCATCTAGAGCAGAACCCTTACCTTCACGGTTTGCTCATTGCCGTCACATGCCTCCCGCTCAATCAGAGAATTCCCCAAGTCGAGGACTCCCTTCACCTGCTCAGCTCGGCCCTGGACCTCATTTTCAAAGGCCTGGTGCTTCAGGTATTTCCTCTGAAGGGAAAGCAGAAACTAAATTACCCCGTAATCTAGGGAAGTGAGATAGATACATTCTGTGTAAAAGAAAGAGTTAATGTTCTGTCATAACTAAAGCTGTGACTTCTGAAGGACTCACCCCCTCATGTTAGACTCAGAAGCCCCTGAGGGCAGGGCATGGATCTCAGCAATTAGAAAGCATTTAGTGTCAGGGAGAGACCCTTCATCCAGAAATCTGGTTATGCCAGAGTTTTCCAAGAATCCTTCTTAAAAACATTTTTAAATGTTTTATTTATTTCTGAGAGACAGGGAGAAAGACAGAGAGAAAGAGACAGGGTGAGCAGGGGAGGGTCAGAGAGAGGGAGACACAGAATCTGAAGCAGGCTCCAGGTTCTGAGCTGTCAGCACACAGCCCGACACAGGGCTCAAACCCACAAACCGTGAGGTCATGACCTGAGCCAAAGTTGGATGCTTAACCGACTGAGCCCCCCACCCCAGTGACCCCAAGAATCCTATTTTGAACTTGCCTGAATGTTGGTGGGATCTCTGTAGGATTCATCACAGGCTGTGGGCAGCTTCTCACTGATCCATTCCTCCAGGTCTTCGAGGTCACGGTAGAATTGTTTGAGGTCAGCATAGTTACCAAGTTTTGTCTGCTCAGCAACCAGTAGTTCTTTGAGAGCATTCCATCTGGAGGAGGAGGCTAGATCATTCTCTGCCCTTGACTTGTCCCCCAAGCTTTGATGCCATATCCACTAATCTTCCCATTGGCCAACCTGTGCCTTTCCCTTTTGTTATTTATAGGCTTATATGCTATATATAACATAGGTATATATTATTATATATTACATGTTTTATTATATTGTTGGGGTTAGTTGTAATGTAACTTCATTATTTTCAAATATAAGATACAGTGGTTAACTCAGGTAATTTTTTTTTTAGGTTACCTTCCATGCCTTTCATTCTGTGAATCTCTGTCAGAAAGGTTTCTAAGTGTCAAGACAGTTTTAAGCATTTAGAAATGAAAAGAGCTCAGAGCATGACCCCATCCTCCATGCTATCCAAGAAGCCACTTTGCTCCATCTTTCTTAGCTCACAAAACACTCGCTCAGGACTGACCTGTCCAGTACCCGTTGTAATCGAGCAGCAATCTCCTCCTTGGCATAGTGGTCATCAGCAATGAGTCGCTCTGCCATAGCACCTAGATCAGTGATCTTCATTTCCTAGACAGAGGAAAAGAAAAAAGCCCAGATGTCTGGAGATGAGGCCTCTGGGGCAATCCCAGACTCCCTCCTAGAAAAGAACAAAGACACCTTCTGTGGCTTCACAAAGGGGAAGAAAACCAGGGCCAGAGGGTAAATGCCTGCCAGGAAGGTGGATTCGAACTCAACAGGAAGACAAACATTAACAATGGCACTAAGATGGGCTCCTTAGTACTGAGCTCCCTTGAAGAGCAGGCTCCTCCCATGGCCATTGTAGAGCCAGAGTCCTGCACTGGGTGGGATGTTGGCCACAGCAGTACATAAAGTCACTTCCAATTCTACTATATGTGCTGCCGAAGCGAGCACTAGTCACTTCCAATTCTAAAAGTTAGGTTTTAAAAGGCTGGGCTTGCAGTAAGACACTCCGACGCCACGTGTGACTTGGGTAAGGCTAAGTCCCAGGGTCAAGTTCCCCTATCTACTGCAGAGATTTCTGTAAGAAGCAAAGGGGAATTAAAATACTTCTAAAGCATAAAACGACATGTTTGTATTAGTATTTCTGTTCTCATCACTAATCTTTATTATTGGAACTCTTATATTGGTTGTTACTACCTGGGCAGTGATTGCCTTGGCCAAATCCTCCCGTTTCTTCATCAAGGCCTCCAGACTGTCTAAGGGGCCCGCAGTGTCTGACCTCACGAAACTCTCTCGCGCCGTCATCCAGCTCTCAACCTGATCACAGCTTCCACGGAACAACTAGGGGAATGAAAGGCGAGTTTATATTCAATCCAAGACACCAAGGAAAGAATCTATCCCTCTCCTATGATACCGATATAAGAGATCTCATAAGGGGTGCTTGTATTCTTCCAAGAAACATTCATACCATGAATCTTAGTTATCCTGGAACTTTTACTCTTCCCTGAAACCACATCTTTTGTTTTTAAATAAGCTATAGTGTATATTTATATGGGTTCCATTCCCAGGGTACTGTTTCCCATACACTGCACCTGGTGGATGCTGGCTGGTTATTTCTCTAGGACTCTCATAAACAGTACCCTTCACAGTCATCAACCTTCCCTCACTGGCGATAATCACTCCCTCTTCTTTGGCCTCAAAATATTCATACATTTTGCTTTATTAATAATCATCTTACTGTGCTGGAGTGGTCTGTCTACATGACTAATTTCACTATTTAAGAAAAGGGACATTATCTTACTCTGTTTCTGGGATTCTGCACACAGCAGAATAAGAATCAATCGACCAAACTCTCAATGAATAAATACATTATAATCATCCCATCCCATGCCAAGAGCTGACCCCCATTTTGTTTGGCTCTTCTAACAAGGGATCAGAGCAGAGAACACCACAATGATGAGACTACAATGGCAGATGGTGAAGAAATGTCCTTGTGCTTATGGTAAGCCCAGTGAAATGAGCACCTGGGGTAACTATGCCCACTGGCAGAGAAGGAACAGATCGAAGTTATCCTGCTGAACAGTGTCAAGTTTGCTTTACCTGCAACTCCAGACACTGATTTAGCATCTTCTTGCGTCGGTCCCAAGCTTTCTCCAAGTCACCTTTCTCTTGCCTGACCACTTCAAGCTTTTCTTGAATTTCAGGGCTGTCACGGTGCCCACTTCCTATAAGTTCTGCACCAAAGTCTTCTAAGGCCTGGAAGGTGGGATCCTGAGCCTCCATGTCAGCATAATGTCCCTGCGTTGGGAAAGGGAAGAGACTGGTGCCGCCAATGACATCTCATCAGAGTCATAAAATCAGGGAAGGTTGGGAGGTCATGTGATCAGCGGCTGTGGCTTTTGTAGCCCATACCCAGTGTCGCTCCAGGAGGATCTCTGTGCCAGTTAAATCCTCAGCCAGCTCCTCTGATGACACCATGGCACCAATGCCACTCAACCAGTTCTCTAGGTCCCTAGAGAAACAGACATACTGGGATCGAGAAGACAACCTCGCAGCTTGTCATAGGGCTCTCTGTCCTTGGCCTGTCCCTTTCTGGAAAACCTTTCCAGAGCAACACCTTCCATCTGTCTTTATCTGCCTCGTAGCTCTTAGTTGTGTTTACATTGTTTGACTTAATAATGGCAACCCCCATGTTTGAAACTGTCTTCACATATATTAACTCTTTCAGTTCTTGCAATAATCCTGTAGAGAATTCCGGGAACTGTTTTGTCCTCAGTTTAGAGATGAGTAGGTCAGCCTGGGGAATGTAAGTGATGTTCTTATGTAGTGTAAGTAAAAATAGGCATCTGGACTCTAACCCAGACACTCAAATCCTGGTCCCACACATAATCCATTACTCCTCCTAATTCTTGTCACTCAAAAGTAGATTCTTCAGTTTAAAGACCTATCTTACATGGAATCTCAAGGAAGGTATCTCTTTGCTTTTACTTTTTTTTTTTTTTAAATTTTTTTTTTTAATGTTTTATTTATTTCTAGGAGACAGAGAGAGAGACAGCGTGAGCAGGGGAGGGCCAGAGAGAGAGGGAGTCACAGACTGAAACAGGCTCCAGGCTCTGAGCTGGCAGTCAGCACAGGGCCCGACGCGGGGCTCGAACCCACGAACCGCGAGATCATGACCTAAGCGAAAGTCAGATGCTTAACCGACTAAGCCACCCAGGCGCCCCTCTTTGCTTTTACTTTTATTCCTAATAGGATCCAGTATGTGCTCTGCCAGCACACGCTCATGTATGCATGTGTGTGCGCACGTGCGCGCACACACACACACACACACACACACACACACACACTCCATGCTGTCATTGAGACCAGGGCCCATTTCTTACTCCATTAGCAGTTAATAGGCATAGTCTGCCTCTGGAGCTTTACCTGGCTTTGTTGAGGAACACGTAGAATTTCCGGGCTTCATTTAAGTTGTGCTTACGGTCCTCCGTGCACCCTAGAAGCTCATCCCACACCGCCTTCAGCTCCATTCCCTTGTTCTGCAGGTCACCAGCGGCATCTGGGTGGGACTCACTCAGCCGCTCTGCCGTCTCCCTCAACATGGTCACCTGAGGAGGTGCAAGGACTGCATCTCAGCAAAATAACACTTCTGAGCCTTGCCCATGTTCACTCCCCAAAGAGATGACAGTGAGGTCCAAGAATATCTTACTAGTTCATAAAATAATGCCAACCCTTTTCGTACACATGGTAACTCCCCGAAGTAGTCAAACCTGACCTTATCATCCTTGTTTTTAAGATAAGAAGGTGTCAGTTAAGTGACTTTGCTGGTTAGTGGCAACATCAGTTACGAGCCCCCAAGGGTCCTGACTTTTAATGTGAAGATCTTTTTAATATGGTCATTTTGTGTGTTCTTTTCACTCTGCATGAGAATGCCAAACCACATGTTGCCCCTGTGTTAGTCCAGAGTGTATCTGGCAAGTTCCAGAGCTTACTTTTAGGTTGGAGTGGGATTAAGTGTTGTCAGTTCCTCGCAAAGGAAACTGCAGCATGTGTGACCCGGGGCAAGGTGTGGGTGTGGGTGGCCAGCTCTCCCTCTGTCTGAGGCTGAGGTCCTCTCTATGGTCTAGGCCAGGAACCCACTATAGAGGGACTTGGACAATAGAGGTCACTACAATATGCTTTTCCCTCTGTGTTCATGGTCCTGGGCATGTCCTTTTGACATGCCGTAGGGACAGATCTAAGAGCAAGTATGGAGGAAAATATGGAGAAGTAGAAGAGTGAGGGACTGGGGAATAAAAGCAATGAGGAGGGCATGGAGAGGCGTAAATGAGGAAGGGGAGACATGGGGACAGCTTGGGAGCATACACCTCACCTTCTCTCCCAGAGGCATAAGGTCTCTCTCAAAGACCTCATGCTGCCGCTGAAGGGCCTGAACGCTGAACAGGTCTGAGCCGGGATCAGCAGCCCTGAGGGCCTGGAGCTTCTTCTCAATCTGCTCCTTCATGTCATCTGCATCTCTGGTTCACAAGAGTAAAGGACTAGAGTGACAGCAGACTCCAGAGGCAGACCAGCTGGCTCAAAGGAGGTCATTTCTCCCATCATCCCCATCACCCTTTCTGATGTGCTAGAATGTAGGCTCACTGAATTGTCCCAACAAATACCTGAGGCATAGTTACAATGACCATTCCCATTTTCTATCAGCAAAACTCAACCATACGGGGGCCATTTTCTCAAGGTTATTCCACTGCCACACCATGGAGCCTGTCTGTACCAGCTGGCCTGGCAGCTAAGTGCACACTTGATTGTTTCCTGGCTTTCCACCTTAAGTCTCTCTAAGCAGCCAGACCTGTCTGCATTTCCCTTTCTCTTCTCTGAGTGCCCAAAAATATATGTATACATGGTGAAGGCATTTGGTTGCCATTTTGTTTGTGTGTTTGCTTATTCACCTATGTGTGTGTAGACAAAGATTTGAAATCTGATGTGCAAAAAACTGGTTGAATCAATAGAGTCGATGTGATACCCGTTGTCTACTGCTAGTCCAGAAATATCATGACTTAAACCCTTTGTTTCTACTCCATGCTTCATTAACTATCATGCAACCTACTAATTATGCATCAGGACCCAAGCCCAGGCACCAGGAAATCAGGGCTTCTTGTCTGTGAGGACCCAATGTGCCAAGTGAGGAATCTACTACTGAGACACCAGACCCCCTCTTAGCTCTGTCTCAGGGTAGCTGTACTGACAGCGATGCCTCCCTACAGTCATTAGACTTGGGGGTCTTTGAGTGGGTTATAGGGCAGCACTGCCTCTCTGGGTTCCCTCCTCACCTGTGAAACATCTCAACAGCATGGGCGCTGCCCAGCAGCTGTTGCTGCTCCTCCATAAGCCTCTGTAAGGAGTCCCAGCGATGATTCAACTCCTAAAAGAGGCAGACACAACAGGAGTCTGCTAGAAAGCTAACTCGGGGAGCTCAGTGTTGTCCAAAGACCAGATGAGCTTGCATCAGGGCTGTTTCCATGAGGTTGCTTCTGAAACTGCATAGGTTTCTTTCTTTCCTGGATAGTTTGAGCTTGGCCCTCATTCATGCCGTTAAGCAAGGGATAATTTTCCTTCCCCAGATGATGTTCCAGGGTGGAACCATCAGCCCCAGATCAGCAACTGATGTGTGCTCCCTCAGAGACTAATTACAATCTCCAAAAGATGAATGGAATGTGTTGCCTTGGTAGTTCAAAGTTTTTATGATATTTCTGCATCCTGGATTGACCAAACTACACAACCTCTTAGAGCTCTACTTTCTATAAAGAGTAAGCAAGTTATTCCTATGCACACCCCTTCTCCCTCTCACCCTGTGTCAACCACCATAAAAGGCAGAGAACACATCTTTCCTGGTTTATGACAGCCCAGATTGCTGGACTGGACATCCCACTTACGTTTATCGATCTTTTATGGAACCAGAGGTCTCAATCAAAATCAGGTCTAGAATGCCCCACCTCCCATCTCTACTGTCCTATATCTTTTCTCCTTCCTTCATCAGATCTCATCGGCACTAGTCTCTTCCACTGAGCTTTCCTGCTAACCCTTTTCTACTATCATAGCTTCTGATTTGCATTTTCTTTTTTTTTTAATAGTTGATTGGTTTCCATATAACACTCAATGCTCATCTCCACAATGCCCTTCTCCATGCCCATCACCCCCCTCCCACTTGCATTTTCTTTGTATTCATGGATTTGGGCATGAATTTTCTGTGTCTGTAAGCAAAGATGGAGGTATGTGCTGCGATCTCTAGATTTCAGATCAGTTTAAATATATATATGGTTGGATTGTTTGAACTATTGTCTTTGACTTTTTCTGAAGCCAGCTTTATACCTTCTGCCTATTCCAGCTCATCTGTGGAATAGACCGTTGAGTGTATTTAAGTGAAATGTAGACCCTGCCCCCCCTCCCCAGATCTCAGCCTGGTGGCAAGGAGAAATGGAAGGAGCTTCACTTACCTGACGTATTTGAGCTCCTTCTGGCGTTAGAAGCTTTTCAAACAGAAGATCATCTGCCACCTTGTTAATATCCCTCAGCCGAGGCTCATTGGCCTTCAAATCCTGGGTGGAAAAATTTGTCCAAAGAGGTATAAATCCCCTTCTCAGGAATCTTCATATCTTCCTGTTCATCTCTGCCCACACTTGACTAATATTAAACATATTGCTAACCTTGCTCACGATGCACAAGGAGACGTCCTCTGATCTGCCACTAAGAAGAGTTACCTTTAAACTCCCTGACCCTCAGTGGCTATTGAGAACTTGGCAAGAGGGCTGCTACTTTTCTGGAGTGTGAAGCACATTCAGTCTCCTAGATTCCTTAAAACTCTCTTGGGTTAAGTGAGGCCATCAGAGGGGTCTCTATCTGAGTTACATACTGTGTGCTTTCCAAGCAAAACAAATTCCTTTGCCTTCTGTAGAATTTCACAGAGTAAGCTGCAGTCTGCTTGGGCTAAGTCATGTTGTAAGAAACACCTCTGAGGAGCTCAGCACCACGCCTGTGGGGACGTTATTGTCCATTACCTTGTACAAAGGCTTCTATGAGCTTCCTTGTGGGAATGTCATTCTTGGCGTTCTTTTAATATTTTGTCCTTGACTCCCTTCCTTTCACTGTCCTCTTTTCTCTTTCTTTATGTGTTCTATGTGTGTGTATATAATCCTTATAATCCCTGTTATCTATCTACCTATCTACCTATCTATCTACCTATCTATCTATCTATTTATCATCTATCATCTATCTATTTCTATTTATCTATCATATATCTATCCATGTCTACCTATCTATTCTCTATGTATCTATGTATCTATCATCTTTCTTTTTCTTTCTTTCTTTATTTCTCTTTCTTTCTTTCTTTCTTGTCTATCTATCTATTCATATGTCTGTGTATCTATCAATCTGCCCATATGTCTACCTATCTATCATCTATCTATCCATCATCTATCTATCTATCTATCTATCTATCATCTATTTCTATTTATCTGTCATCTATCTACCCATGTCTACCTATCTATTCTCTATGTATCTATCATTTTCTTTCTTTCTTTCTTTCTTTCTTTCTTTCTTTCTTTCTTTCTTTCTTTCTTTCTTTCTCTTTCTTTCTTTCTTCCTTCCTTCCTTCCTTCCTTCCTTCCTTCCTTCCTTCCTTCCTTTCTTTCTTTTTTTCTTTCTTTCTTTATCTATTCATATGTCTATATATCTATCAATCTGCCCATATGTCTACCTATCTATCATCTGTCTATCTATCTATCTATCTATGTATCTATCATCTATCTATCTATCTATCGATATGTCACCTTGAATTTTATCTCAAAGTCATCTTTAAAAAAAAAAAGGAAGAGGGGGGCACTTATATCCACTGCTAGCTAACAAATGGAATGAATGGAGGGTTTTAAGCAGGCAGAAAATTAGAAACTGTGTAGCTGTAGGGGTGCCTGGGTGGCTCAGTCAGTTAAGCGTCCAACTGTTGATTTTGGCTCAGGTCATGGTCTCACAGTTTGTGGGATTGAGCCTTGTGTCAGGTTCTGTGCTGAGAGTTCTGGAGCCTGCTTGGGATTCTCTCTCCCTCTTTCTCTCTGTCCCTCTCTCTCTCAAAATAAGTAAATAAAAACTTAAAAAAAAAAAAGAAACAGTCTAGCTATAAAGTCAGGTTGTTCTTCCCACCTCCCCACCCCAACTTCTGCCCATAATTAGACCTTCCTCGGAGTCCCACAGCCTCCCACCTCAACCTGAGCTCCCAGAACACAGCGCAGGGTGGGGCAAATGCTGAAGAACTCATGGAGAAAAGCAATCCCAGGAGGGTCTGGGAGCAGCAGGGACCACAGGCTGCAGAGGCAGGGCCACTGGGTTCCTCTGCTTTTTCGTTTCAGCCCCAATACCCAGAAAGAGATTGGAAATGTGGGGCCCTCGGCAGCTCTGGGAAGGATATTAGCAAATGTGAAGTTGAGGAACCGCTCAGGAGCCAGCGTGGGGTATATGGAAACAGTAGTCACCATCAGAAAGCCATCTAGAGGGGAACGTCGCTCGTTCTCACCTTTTGGAACTCATCAACCTTCTTCTGCAGCTCCCAGACATCATCCAGCTCCACCCCTGTATTCTCTGCCTTTTTCTCTTGGATCCACTCCAGCATGTCGCCCGCCTCATAGGCCAGCAAGAACTCATTGTAGCGCTGCAGCAGGCGACGCCTGCGCTCTTCTGCCCTATCGAGGAGGGAGCGGTACCTGTGTGCAAACGGGAAGGCGTCATGAAACACGGAGGAGACACAGAAGGGTAGAGCAGGTGTGAGAGGGAGAGTGGAAGGACAAGAAGGAAAGAGAGGGAAAATCAAAAAGAAGAACAACAGAGGAGAGGAGGAAATAGAGCTGGGAAGAAACAGCCTTGAGGGCAGAGAGACACACACACACAGGGTTCCATTAAAAATGATAAAAATGTCAGGGTGTCTGAGTGGATCAGTCAGCTGGGTGTCATGATCTTGTGTGAGTTCAAGCCCCGCATTGGGCTCTGTGCGGACAGCTCAGAGCCTAGAGCCTGCTTTGGATTCTGTCTCCCTCTATCTATGCCCCACACCCCACTTGTGCTCTGTTTCCCTCTCAATCAAAAATAAATAAACATTTAAAAAATTTAAAAAATAATAAAAATGTCAATGTTCCCATAGTGTGACTGGTAATGTCCATTCCCTACTTTATAGATGTGAGATTTTCATGTGACTTCTGACAGCTGGGTGAGAAACAGCCTGGTACAGTAAACAAAGTTCACGTGGAAATCGGAAGACCCTTCGATAACTCTCAGAACACTGGGCAGGGAGTCAGAAGATGTGGCTCTATTAAGTGTCTGACCTCAAGCAATCAACTTAATGGTTCTAGGGTTCCTTTCTTCATATGAAGTATCTGAAGGACCCTAAGTTTATTTTTAGCTCCTAGAATCTGTGAGTTTACAATGACATCTCTAATCAAACAGCTGCAGAGCCATGAGAAGTGTCTTTGCCAGTAAGAAATGGTCAGCCAAGTACTATCCAGTTCCACAGCCTCCAGAACTTACTGGTTCTCAATCTGTTCCTGGCGCTTGGTGATGCTGCCTGGTTCTTCTTGACGCCGCTGCGGGGGCGTAGGAAACTCGTCGTGAGCCAGTTTCCTGACGTAGACAGCAGGCACAAAGCCTTGGTGGTCACCAGCTTCCACCTTCCACCAGTCCTGAGGAGAGAGAACCACGCTCCTTCCTTAAGTTTTGGAAAAGCACAAATAGTCTTGGAAAAGCTCTCGTAATGAAGCCTGTAGGCACAGCCACAGACTGAGGGCAAGAGAAGCCAACCATTGCCTATGGCTGGCATGTTAAGGACTTCCAGGAATCGTACAAGTCAGGCTCTGAAATCAAGGAACTTGACGTGTGACATTAGACTTTTAACTATGGTGGAGGTTTTCAAAGATCAAAGACAGCTCTCCTAATGCTGGGGCACCTGGTCCACAAAGAACTCACGGAAAACACCATGAAGCCAGCATCAAACCAGGCTTCTTGGAGACAAAGCATCCATGTCTGACAATAGCATCCATGTCTGACAAGAATGACTTGTCTCCCTCCACCTCCCAGAGTGACTAAAAGTTGTGCGTGGCTCTGAAACTCACTAATGTGGATGCTTTGTGCTTCAGTATCACCCTGGTCCCCACAGAGTGTTTTGTGGGGATGGGTGTTACTGAGCTAACGCTCTGGAGTTAATGTCTTCAGAGCACAACGTGGTGATGGGAAGAAGCCTGGGCAAAGACAAAGTGAGACTGGCACATAGCTCATTTGATCATGGAACGTCCACCCTGCCTCTCAAAAATTCACTTGCCCTCATATTCTGAATTCTCTTCTTTTCTTCACAATACATTTTGGAAATTATTAGAATGTAAAAATGTTATTTGAGCTCTTTTAAAAAAGAGCCAATATTTTGTTACTTTCTCACAGCCTCTGTCTGACCCATTAAAGAAAAGCAAGTGGACAAAAGACTTCTTTTTATTCAGGATCCCCTTGACCCTGGCCATGGGTGTCCCATCACTAGGGTCATTGGCACAGAAGAGAGACAAGCAAGGAGATGAGAAGAAAGGGACAATTTAGTGTCACAGAATTGCCATTCATAGCTCATATATCTTTGGGCTAATTACTGAAGCTCTTTGAGTCTTCATTTTGTTAACTGTAATTTGTATGTAATCCCCATAGATATATACAGGATCTTACACAATATCTGGAGGGAAGCTACTACTTAATAAATTATGGTGATTTAAGACAGACAGCAATAGAAAGATGTTGATTGGCCGAAATATGGGTATATAGCAAGGTTGGGAGAGTTGGCTATGGAAGGGCCATCTTGCCAATGGGAAGAAGGCTGGAAGGAAGAGTCACCTTGTTGATGGAACTGAGCAGAGTTAAGATGTCATCTTTCTTCATGGTGACTTCTCGTTTGCTACGGGCCTCGAAGTCATACAAAGCCACCACCCTCTGTTCTCGGGCAGCTCCCTCCACTGGTGCAGCCTGTTGTTGCTAGACAAAAGCAGGAAGCAGATCATGTCAGGCACCTGTTGGGCCCAAAGGTGGTGGGCTGTCCCTGGGCTGACCACAGGGGAGAGCCTCAGGCTCGATCCTCCCACATGGCTGCCAGTAAGAGAGAGATGGCGATATGTCATTCCCAGAGATATTCTTCACCCTCATATAAGAGAGAATGGGCAGGAGGGGGGATATGGACACAGAATGAGCAAGTGAGTATGTAGTTTGTCAGAAACATAGTAAATGCTCTAAGCCACCAGTTCGTAAAGCAGGTAATAAGGGATTAAATGCCTCAACATTTCAGAAGCTTGTTTGAGAAAATGAAAGACCCACTCTCATCACCTTCTCCATTTCCTGGGCCTCCACTGACCATCCTTCTGACCTCTTAGCCCTTAAATTATCATGTCAAGGAAACGTGGGCTTTTGTTTTTAGAGATGTTTTTCTACAGCACAGAAAAGGCCACAGAATTTCTTAAATTGAGACCATAAACTGGGATCAAAGATCTTGTATCTCCCTTTAGCAAGCAACTGCTCTCTCTCCAAGGGATTTGATTTTATCCTGATATACTTTCTGCCAATATCACACCTCAGAGAGAATGAACAAAATATGATCCCCCTTTGTAATCAATGACTCAGTCCTTCCTATCAGAATGGAGGATGTATAGCTCCCCTCACAGGCCCCTCTGGTTTTATAGACCTTGAGTACCGCATGTTTTCAACACACACAGGCACACATACCCGTCTGCTCGTGTTTACAATCTGCCAAGCAAGCCGAGGAAGGCAGACTCATGGACTCTTTGCACATGTGGTTACTGGGCATGCGCTGCCCACCTGTGTTGCCTGCTCCGGGCCTGTGAGTCCACAGCCTCTCCTTAGAAAGGCTGTTCCAGGTGTTTCTGTTGTTCCTTCTGCTGCCCCCAAGGAGGCGCCCCCACCACCCTTCTGGACAAGACTTCACTGCCAGCTTGGTTCCCGGCCAGCTGCACAGTCTCCACCGTTTGCATGTCCCGTCTCACAAACACACCTGGTCATTCTGTGCTTTGGTGCCTCTGCTCCCATAGCTTGTTGCCTGGAAAAGCCCTTCCTGTCCTCATCTGCACAGTACACCACTTAAAAAAATAACTCAGGTAAAGCGGTTCACCTCATCTGTGAGGATCTTCCTACTTTCCAACACGCTTGTTTCAGGAGAGGGAAGCACTCTTTTTTCTGAGACCCTTCCTTCTGTTCAGATATCTATCATATGCACTTATTTCCTGAAATTTCTGATCTCTTAATTCACAGGACTTTTCCTGCCGTTGGGATTATTTTTTATTCCTGCTGGCACTGGGTAGACATTTAATAAGTCTAAGGGGGAAAGACAATTAAGAAGGAAGAAAGGACTCAGGAAGGACTGTAATAATGAGATGAAAATAAAGAAGGCAGGAAAGAAACAGGAATGGAATTATAAAAGGAAGGAAAACGGAAAGCAAGAGTACATCAATGCGCACATGACTGTACTTTAATCCCTTCCGGATTCAATCTCTGCAAACATATGAAGAGACTTATCTGCTGAAATGGACCCTAGAATTTAGTATTTTCTTTGCAATTGTTTCCTAGGTTATTGGAAGTAACAGCCAGCAATAAAGAGAGTCCAGTTTCCTCCCACGGGGAGTGTGGCTCCTGGCATCTTGAAGCCTTCTCACCTGGCAGACCTCCGCCTGGTCCCTCAAGGCTTGCATACTGTTCCCAAAGGCACTCAGGTCCACCAGGAAAGCTTCGTGCTTCTTTAGAAGAGCCTGGATTTGTTGAGGAAGGATCATCAGAATTGAATACGAGGAGATCACTAGGCATCCCTGGGGGTGTTGGGGCTATTCTTGGGGGTTATATCAGTCATTCTAATTCTCAGTAAGAGACATTTTCCATCTATAATAAAAAGGTCTTTTGTCAACTCTAAATGTACAAGTATCAGGAAAATAGGAGTGAGAAGATCAACAATTTTGATATATTTGCTTAATCAAAACTAACTCAAAATTGCACAAATGTTTTATCAACACGCATCACAGCGAGAAGGGGGTGTTGCTATGATGTTACTGTGTAGGATTCAACATCAGGGTACTTTAGATGCCCACCGCAATTATCCGTAGAGCTGAAGGTTTGCTAAATACTATACCAGCTTATCATAAGGCAATGCGCAAAACATAGAAGATAATTACGACCCTTAGGGTACATGGCTACCTGATTTTATTTCAATAAAGTAGTGACAGTGCATAGACCTTACAACAGTGGCTGGATTGTGAAATTCAAGGTTAGTCTGAAAAGTTTAGGGCAGGTCCAAGACAGGCATGGATCTCTGGTTATGCCTTTTTGGGGTTAGATCATCTTTAAGGAATCTACAGATCTCTGTGGGATCAGGAAAATGCAGCGTGCCTTTTAGGATCCATGTCAACTCCAAGGTTGTCCCAACTGGTGAAGGCCAAATGTATTTACTCTGGAAACCCCAAGTAATCTAGCAGAACATGTAGCCATCACAACGTCTGGTAGCATTTGGTGAGCCCTAGACAGTGTCCACCCCCGTGCCCCTTGTACCCCAGCTGCTTCTTCATTGGCCCCATAGTTAGTGTTGTCTACAATAGGCTCCTTCTCTTGAATCCAGGCTTCTGCTTCATGCAGGTCAGCCAGGTACTGCTGGAACTGGACATTGGCCTCCAGGTCATTCCGCCGTCTCGCTGCTCGAGCCTGGAGAGACTCCATGTTTTCATTCAAACTCTTGACCCTGGAGGCCACATCTTCTGCAGCAAAGTGCCCTATGGAATAGTTAGAGGAAAGGGGAGTATTCCCCTCGTTAACATCACTATACTTCAATCCTTTTGGTGACCCAGAAGAGAGAAGGGGGATAGGAGGATGCTACCGTGTACAGTCCCTGTGGCCATTTGCCTAACTTCCTGGAAACTGGACTGTAGTGAGACTGAGGATCAAGAGGTGCTAACGGAGGCTGGGTGGATGTGTGTGATGGTGAATGGGGTGGTATAGTCTGTAGTATACAGACCTGGAACAGAGTACCTAGATCTGGGTCCTGCTGAGTTCCAAAAACACACTGTCTAGAGTCAACAGAAAATCCAACAGATGTCCCTTCTGCCCAGAAGGGCCTTTGTACCGCAGGAACACCCTAACGACTAGAAAACAGGGCAAATTGCAGGATACGATGATGTTCAGACAGCAGGCAGAGGATCGTGACTCAGAAGAGAAGGGAAAGAAATGAGATGTCCCCCCACACACGGGGGAGTCTCGAGGCTGTGCCGGAGGCTAGAGCCAAGCAGAACTGGCTGTCAAACTGAGCCAAGCAGGCAGCCCAGAGCCGGGGCTCCCGGAGCAGAGGGCTGAAGAAGGGTGCCACACAGAGATGGGGCTTCAGAGGCGTGTCGTCGGATCCCCTCCTGACTTAGACTGATGACCCCTTGCACGCGTGTGTGAGGAGACTCCTCCAGGTGAGGGAAAGGTGACTCCAAAGCAGGAGACCCCAAATCCCTTAGGCCCACGTAGGGCTGCAGATAAAGTCAGCGCCACCGCAAAGTGCACCGGGCTCATAACACAGGAGGCGGTTCTCAGCGGAATCACACCCCAGTAGGGGCACCAATTCGCAACCAGCTCCAGGCTGCAGTCTTCCCTAGAGGTTCCAAGAGGGTCGATGATTGCCTTACCCAACAAACAAACATTGATTGTCAAACCACACCAAATTATACTGTCATCAAATTTCCAAAAACCAGTGATTAAACGCTTAAAAGGGTAAGAGAGAAAAGAGACACATTCCACACGGGGGAGCAGAGATCATGGTGAGAGCAGACTTCACATCAGAAACTCCGTAAGTCAAAAGACAATTCAGCAGCGTCTTTAACGTACGGAAAGAGAGAAATTTCCTCTCAAGAATTTTATGTACCCTGAAAATGTGTTTTAAAATGAAGGCAAAGGGCCCCTGGATGGCTCAGCCAGTTAGGCATCCAACTCTTGATTTTGGCTCAGGTCATGATCTCATAGTTTCGGGTTTGAACCCCATATTTGGCTGTGCTCTGACAGTGCAGAGCCTGCTGAGGATTCTCTATGTCTCTCTCTCTGTCTCTCTCTCTGCCCCTCCCCTACTCTCCCTTTCTTAAAATAAATAAATAAACTTTAAAAATTATTTAATGGTCACCCTTTCAGAAGTTGAAACCGAAGTTTTTAAAACAAAAGAATATACAAGTTTATATTCTATTAACCATTAGAGCAAAGGCATTATCACCCATCATGCAGAAAACTTCACTGTGCACTTAGGAAAGAATGGATATGAGGAAGGCAAGTAATGTCTTAGCATTAGTATGAAACCCACAAAACCAAAAGTGGAGAATCACTACTCTAAAATAAACACACATACACACAACTCCCCTATAATATAACCTACAGAACTATAGCTACTCAATTAATATGGAGAAAAAAATGGAATCACGCACGAAAACTTAATCCAAAGACAGTGGAAACTGATGGACAAAGAGAAACAAATAGCAAGATGCTAGATTTAAGCTTAACCATACTGATAATTGCTTTAACTGTAAATGGTCCAAACAATCCCATTAACAGGGAGAGATTACCAGATTGCATACCATAAAATCAAAGCTTAACTATATGCTGTCTATAAGAAATCTGCTTTATATAAAGTAACAGAGTATAAGCAAAGATGGAGACATACATATTGTGTAAAGATGAATCAAAGACAGCTGGTGTGACAGTATTAAAGTCACACTGAGTAGGCTTCAGGGCATGACCAGGGGTATGGAGAGCTATACCATAATGTTAAAGATTTAAATTCATCAAGAAGACACGACAAACCTACATATACATGCACACAATTAACACAGCTTCAAAATATATGAAACAGAAACTGATAGAACTGAAAGACATAGATAAAATCCACAATTACAAGTGGAGATTTCGAGAAAAAAAATAAGGCAAATCACTATAGTAAAATAGCAACCACGAATAAATCACTGCTGAGATCTGACTTTTTGCAACGTGAATTTTAAACTATACTTTTGATAATGGGATGGTGGCTGGCAACAATTTATTTTTCTTCTTGGCCACAATTTATTCTTGAATCAAGGGAGGAACAATCCCAGTGTAATCTACTGTTGCTTGTAACATACTTGGAAATTGATGCTTGGTTTTGAACATCGTATTTAAGCAGTACGGTTTTCTGAAGACCGGAGACCAGGAGGAAGGTACATACCGAAAGGATACAAAGTAAGGGATTTAAATAAATGGTGCTATTTACCATCAAGACTATAAGACACTGAGAACCTTCACAGGTTCTTTTTTTTTTTTTTTTTTAATTTCTGAGACAGAGAGAGAGAGAGAAAGAGACAGCATGAGCAGGGGAGGGTCAGAGAAAGAGGGAGATACAGAATCTGAAGACAGGCTCCAGGCTCTGAGCTAGCTTTCAGCACAGAGCCCAACGTGGGGCTCGAACCCACGAACTGTGAGATCATGACCTGAGCCAAAGTCGGATGCTTAACCGACTGAGTCACCCAGGTGCCCGAACCTTCACAGGTTATTAAGGGACTTAAGGGAAGTCTTCACAGGTCTGGAAGTTCCCAAGTGGGAAAAGGGGGTGATTTGTTTTTGGGGCTTTAGAACTTCAATTCTAAATTCTGTAACTTCTACAGAAGAGTATATTGGTTATTGGCTTAAAGTATTTTATTTAATGATTTTGGCTTAACTGAAAAACAGAAATGACTGGTTTGTGAGGTAGGAGAGTTCCTATTATTGGAATACATAAGCAACATTGTGTCATCATTGTACTTGTCAGAAATGCCCAAGGCAACTTTCTGCACTGAAGGAGAAGGTGGATCATACATAGTTTTAAATACCCATGAAGCCCTAAAATTGAACAATCTTCTTCCCTTAAGTTTAGCATGGTGATAATTGGCCAGTTCAGCCTGAACCATACATACCTTCCTCTACCATTTTGTTTCCCCTCTCCGTTATCATTCGGATGTGGGGCTCATGACTGGCAATGTCATCCTGGATAATTTGGTGTCTGTTCAGAAGTTTCTTAGAGGCAATCAGGTCCTTGCCTACAAAGAAAAATAATTTCAAGTCCTGGTGTTGTTCTAGTGTACGGAATAAAAAGAGACTACTCGACTTTTCATAACTCTTGGACCTACAAGTTCTTCCTTCTGAGGCTGTGATCACTGAGTGCACTTTCTGAACTTTATACCATTTGCCTGAATTAACTATCCTCGGTGTTGCTCTTTCCCTTGCTTCTTTGTAATAGGAAAATTCAATTCCTTATTTTACAAAAGATAATAAATGAGTCACTATTCTGTTCGGAAGATAAGTAGAAAGGCAAGTAACTCTTCAGCTAAAACTTCCAACATCATGCAACCAATTGTCTTTCTTCATATTACTTTCTTTTTTTAAAATATAATTTATTGTCAAATTAGCTTCCATACAACACCCAGTGCTCTTCCCAAAAAGTACCCTCGTCAATGCCCATCACCTGCTTTCCCCTCTCTCCCACCCCCATCAACCCTCAGTTAGTTCTCTGTCTTTAAGAGTCTCTTATGATTTGCCTCCCTCCCTCCTCTCTGTAACTTTTTTTCCCCCTTCCCTCCCCCCATGGTCTTCTGTTAAGTTTCTCAAGATCCACGTTCATCATATTACTTTCCAAAAGACAGGATCTTCCACTTACTAATTAATTCTCATGGGTGTCAGAACATTATTAAATCTTCTAATTTAGGTTTTATTCACCAAAAAAAATGGCATGTTATCTGTTTTGAAGTTTTCTTTGTAAAGATTAAAAATAGCACATAAATGCTTCCCTTGTGGTTAGCATTCACCAGCACCTACTAACTGGTGTGTATTATTCATTTTCCTCCATCTTCTAGCTCCCCAGTTCCAGGGGTTGATTTTATTCTCCCTTGTCTCCCATCCACAGGGCCCTTCAACATCCCTTTCCTATCCCTTTCCTAAACTTCCCACTAAATGAATTTCCAGAAACTGTGCCCATAGACCCTTCAAAGAGGTCTTTTCTCTTCTAGAAGTTTTTCCAGACTGCCATTATTATCAGCTCCTCATAGATGTCCCCTGTACATGGACACTGAGTTTGCCTTCCAACCGTGGCTGGCACTGGCCTGACAGGTCCTGAAGGAAAGGGAAGTCTGTACTTTCTCTGCTCTTCCATCCCCTGTTATCCTTGTAGTAGCTCCAATCATTACAAAAGGGAGGCACTAACACTACAGACAAAATCACTTGGTACCTCAAACAGTAACCATGGCTGCTCAGCCAACGACCCTGGCAATAAGTTAGAATAAGTAGCGAAAGCTGAGCACTCTAGCTCTTCCCAGAGGTCTTCAGGTCATGGCACTGTTTGTGTCTTATTCTAAGAGGTAAACTTTTCAGTATGATGAAAAAAAACAAAAAACCTCCTATAGAGGACTGGAAAATGTTTTCCTGAGTGTGAGGAGAGCGAGCTGAGGGCAAATTCTGCAGAGAGATCCCAGATCTCTCAAACAGTCTGCACACCTTGTTCTTTGCCCAAGCTCAGCCTGTTCACGTTCAAGGACTCACCAAGGTAGGTGGAAGCCACGGAGGGCTCCGTCTCTTGGATCCAGGCTTCCTCGTCCTCTGTGTCCCTGCAGAGCTGCAGCAGGTGCAGAAGGTCAATGAGCTTCTTTTTCCGGGTGGCCAGGGGCTCCTTCAGGGCTTCAAACCGGGACACCAGGGACTCCTTCCTTGCTTGTATGTCGCCAGCATTGGGATGGCCTATTTCTTCAAAATATGCTGCCAGGTCTGCGAGGGTGTCCACCTGATCCTGGGAGAGAGAGAGAGAATGGGTGTCAGGAAATCCCATCATTCGGTAGAAAGGGGAGGGGGTCGGCATGGGGAGGTCGTGGGAAGAATCAACTCCCATAGGTACCACGTGATGACTTCTAACCACATCCATGAGGCAGTGTGGTAGGGCTTGCTAGATTGAGGACCATTTCATCACCAAAGAGCTATTTATAGGAAAGTAATTCTTAAACCACATTTCAGAAGGACTGAATATGTATAGAGTGTGCCAAGAAGATCAGGGAACCCACAATAATCAGAGCCTTAACTGTTGGGGAGTGTTAATAAATTGTGGCCCCAAAGAAAGCAGAGGGAGAGTTTCTCTCAGCTCCCCTTTCACCCTCTTTCTCTCCCTTTAACCTGAGCTGCAGCTGTAACTAACACGGAACTTCCCACGTTCAACTTTGTTGTGCAGCAGGAATAATGCCCAAGGGATGATATTGAGGCTTCCAAAAGGAATGCCACTATTTTTGTTACTTTATTTCACCCCTGACCTCCAGAGCAATCTAAGAGTCTGGGTTTGTTTCATGTTTTCTTTTCTTGTAGATTACCCTGCCTTTACCATTTAACCCAAAGAGCAGACATCATCAAAGCGTATTTTAATAAGACAGATCAGTAGGACTTTCTAAGGAACAACAGGGTCATTTTAAAATACAAGCTAGGACCCCTCAGATATGAAAGTGAGTCAGCTAGAAGTGCGTTCTCCACTGGGTTCTCTGGAAAATCACACAGTGTCTACACTCTAACAACTTAGTGGATAAGCTTAAGTCCCAGTCTGGTGGGATGTCCCTGAAACTAAGAGCCTATACATCTACGTCATAGCCCTCACCCCACTGCCAATGTTCTCTGTGACCTCATGGAAGTCATGTCGCTGCTATGGGTGTCAGTGTTCTTAACTAAAAAATAAAGAAGTGGGATTGAAGATATTTTCAAACTTTGAATCATGGAGTACTGGAACAGGAAGAGGCAATGTTGTCCAAACCTTCTTGTACAGGTGAGTCAGGTGAAAAGACACACCAAAGGTGACCTAACTAGTAAGTGATGAGCTGGAATATGAAGCTCAGGTTTTGGGGAGGGACAGTGTGATGCCAAAGGTGGGAGAGTCCACAAAGCTCCACCAGCCACGGGGTTCTGACAGAGGCCATGGGCACCAGGGACAATGGCTACATTAGAGAAGGTCTTAGGAAGGGGCAGCTGACCACCTAACCTTTGGAATCTTTACCTTTGGTTTCTTGCTCTCTTTCTCTTTCAAGAGTTACTTATCATAAGTGTGCTTGAAGCCTGTAGGGGTGCCCTGACCTCCAAAGAGCTGGTGACCGACCTGGCGAGGGGTCACAGCGGACTCCAGGAGGGTGTGTTTCCGGAGCAGGTTTTGGATGTCTGCCAGGCCTTTCCCATAGTCCTCAGACGTGGCCTGCTCCTCCACCTTGTCCAGCCAGTGCTCCAGATCCGCTGCGTTGTTCCTGAATTGTAGCTCCTGGTTAGCTTCATGCAGCTGTGTCCCTGGAAGAAGACATTCGGAATGAGACAGGCGCCATTGCTCTTTCTTGTTACACAATAGCACACCTTCCATCAACATAAGGAGAAACACAGTATTTTGATATTCTAATAAGAAAAAAAATATATATATATATATACCCATCTCACGTGTGATTATACAAAAAAAAATCACCTTGAATTTGTAGATTTCGGATGGCATTTGTTTTTACGTAGAGTAGCATTCATTCTCAAAACAAAGATAAGCAGCCAGTTTATTCCCTGGTGAGTTACAGTCTCCCTGTATTAAATTTTAACCATCCTGGGTATTTTCCTATGACATTTGTTACTCTCTAACGAGACCTCCTTTTCAAAGAGATTCAAACCCAAATATCGCATTTCCCAAGAGAAGTATAAAATTGGGAGTGGTTCCATTTGAAACATGGAGGTGCCTCTTTTTTTTTTTTTTTTTTTTAAATAAATGTCTACCTCAGAACATTGCCAGGCCTTCTCAGTCCCCATCATGAGCCACGCCTCATAATTTTCTCTTCCATAAAATGCCTTGACTATCCACACTGTTCTCAGCTAAGCTCTTCATTCTTTGGCCTTATGACAATTATTTGCATTATATCCGTGAGGCAATTAATGTGTCTCCTGATGGTAGGGAATAGTAGTGATGTCTTACTGTTACTATTGGGTTGGATTTTTTCTTAAACCCCAAATCAGGATACTACACAACAGAGTCAGCATGGATGATCTCTTCTATAACTAGGGCAGAGCCGTGTCTATAGACAGAGTCTGCATCTAACAAGGAGAATAATGACGGGAAAACCTCATTATTTGTGTTAATTACTACACCTGACTGATTTTCTAGAGGGAGGAAGTTAACGGTAAGTAGAGATTATTCAAGTAGACATGTGGGGATTTGTTTTTAAGAGCTTGCAGCTGAGCCTGAACTCTCTCAAAGAGGGGGAAAAAGCAAGTTGTCAAGCCTTATTTATAAGAATAAATTTAGAAGGAATATCAGCTGTGGTGCTGACAGTCTTAATGTCTAATTGAATAGCCTGGGTCATAATATCTTGTCTCATCTATAGACCCCAAATATGTGAAACCTAATTTAAGGACTCTAGTTTTAGGTGCATAGCCAATTTGCTGGATTCATGGATCCAGGATATTTATTCGGGAGAAAGAAGAAAAAAAGTGGGAGCAAAGTGAAGAAAACAAAAGTAATTTCACTTAAACGTACATACATGAAGAAAACATAAAGTTGTCCATTTTTAATCCTGTGATAACTTTAGGTTGGATTATAAACCCCCCTTGATCAATACAGGAAGAAATGAGTGGTGTTCCTTCTCAGAGTGGTCACAGAACAATTCAAGGTGGTGAAGATGAAAATGGCAGTTTTCAGAATCTAGGAATTAGCCGTTCACCAAAACCTCTGCTTCTAACCTTTCTGCTCCATAGCCTCCAGCAACTCCTTCCAGAGGCCGACAACCTCAGCCACACGAGCAGCCACCTTGTTGGAGGCATAGTGATCAGCCTCAATCATTTCCTGGCCAGTTTTCTCCAGCGTATTGAGCAGCCGTTGATTATCTTTCAATTCATTTTTAAAGTCTTCCTGCTTTTTAACCCGGCTCTTCAAGTTCTGAGTATCCTGAGACAAGACCAAAAACAAGGAGGCTGTTAATCTGAAGAATGGGGAGCAGGGATTTTGAGGATAGAGGTTCCTCGTCACTATAAGTACAACTGCATTAAGGAAAGGACACAAGGGAACAGTGGTAGTCCAAGTACTGAGCCAGAGAATGTTAGCAAACTCATGTGGCCGTTCCGTCTATCCACATGGTACACGATAGACTAATCGATTCTTGCATGTATTTCTACAGAGTGTAGATAGTTCCTGAAGATCATTTTGAATAAGGCACCCCATGCAAGTATGAACAATCAGAGAGCTGTCATGAAAGATGACAATTTTTTTCTCATTCCTGTCCTGATACTTGAACCATTCACCCCTTGGCCCCATCTGGAGAAGATCTGTTTACCCTCCGTTCCCTGGAGCTACAGGTCCTCTGAAGAACACTGATTATTGAATCTCACAAAATGGAAGATACAGATAAGATGCTCATAGTTCTATAAAGATACAGAAACAAGAGGATCAGGTATACATTGAAGACCAAATGAAGTCAAGAAAAGTAAATATTTTGAATAGATATTGGCCTAGAAATTAAGAGACTAATTCTAGCCTTGACTGTAAATGTGAATGTTTATGAATATGTATACATGTACATAATAGTTTATATTACATGACACTTACAAGTGAAAGGAATGCATTTTACACAACCCCAAGGTAGAGAAATCTATGGTTCCGAGGTAGCTCAAGAATTCCCCTAGGTCATGTACACCAAGACAGAACAGGGAGAGAATTTAAACCCAGGTTCACCTTCTCCAGAATTCATGCTTCTAATGCTTCTGTTAAACTGCCTTCTAAATAACTGGTTAACTTTGGGCAATTGACTTTCCAATTCAAATGCTTGGTTTCTCATCAATAAAGATAAGGAGCTGTTCCCTTCCAGATACAAAACTGTGTAACTCTATTATGTCAGACCTTGAGGTTACATTTGGGTTCCTAGTAGCTTTCAATAAACGTGAACATCCACCGGGATTGGACACAGAGCGTTCCTATTTTAAGGGTGCCAAGCAGAGTAGCAGAGGGGGTCAAGGGACAAGAAGCAGCCAAATGAAAAAACAGTCCCTCCCTTTCCCCATTAGTTACAGAACTTGAGAAGCTGTGCCAGAGAAGAGGTGGGAGACAGCAGGGCATGGGAGATCCAGAAGTTGGAGTCTTGGCTTCCAGTTGAACACCGTGTCTTGAGAGACTTAGGGTCCTCCTCTGTAAAGGAGGCTTGCCCACTGAACACTACCATCCTTTCCACTCTAAGACCTCTGTCCCCCAAATTCAGCCCTGATGAGTGTGTCCAGGGTCTGAAAACCCTGCTTACCTTGTAGTCTTCATCGTCTGCCAGCTTTTTCTTCTTGTTGATCCAGTTCTTTAGGTCATCTGAGTCCTCATACAGTTTCTGCAGAAGCCACGAATCCTCCAGGAGTTTGCGCCTCCTGGCAGCCCGGGCACGTAGGGCATCCCGCCGGGACAAGAGCTGCAAAAGCCATGACCAGGTGCTAGGTCAGCAAAGCCAAATACGGACACATCAGTTTCACTGTCCGTCTCGGTGCCCATGCCCCGCCACCCCCCCTGGCCCCTTGGCACAGGCGGGCAGACGTGCATCTGCGGCCTTGGACATACGCTATCTCGGAGAGCAGCGATCTTCTCGGAGTCATAATGGTCATTGTCGATCAGCTTGGTGGCATTGCTCTCTAAGGTCTGAAAAACAAAACCAATAAACACTGGAGTGGTTTTTCTCCAGGGGTCCCTGAGTCAGTGGCCAGCGTTTGGCTAACTGTGTCGAGAGGAAGCCTGCAAGTGTGGGAAGAGAACAAGTTTCAGGGTCGGAGATCTGGGTCCTAGTTCTGATTTCTGTCACAAGTTATAATTCAAAAATGCATATCTGACAAATTAATTACCTTTTTTATTCCATAATATTTTAAAAGTCTAGGTTATAGCATATGAATTTTGATATCACTTGAAGGTGAATAGCTGATCTGTTCTTAAATTTTCAGGAGGAAAGACTGTGGATATTGTCAAATCTAGTGGCCAGTGCTTGCTCTCTTTCTCTCTCTCTTTCCCTCTATCTGTTATGTATATTTATATCTACACCTGTATCTCTAGCTATGTGGAAACAAGTATCTGAAATGTTTACTCATATTCATTCATTAATTCCCCAGATTTTTAGAACTCAAAATGGGTTAAGTGATCAGAAATAGGAAAATAATCTAAAATAAATGATAGCTTTGGGGCAGCTGAGTGGCTCAGTCAGTTAAGCGTCCAACTTCAGCTCAGGTCACGATCCCACAGTTTGTGGACTCTGCACTGACAGCTCAGAATCCGCTTGGGATTCTCTCTCTCATCCTCTCTCTCTCTTCCTCTCTCTCTCTCTCTAAGATAAATAAACATTTAAAAATGATCGCATTTTAAAAAGAATAAATTATTTTTGCTTTTACCAATGACAATCAACAGAGTAATCCTATGGATTGATAAGGGACATAGTAATCTCCATATTGACTGAAGACTGATGGACTGGGCTTGAAATTTTATTGTGAGGGTTGTTGCTGCTGGTGATGGTCCTATATGCAGACATGTGTGAGTTAAAAGCCAGCACCAGCCTAGGAGACAACCAAAAACATATGGTACATTGGACCAATAAAATCTTCCTACACTTGTCTGAGCCTTGTTTATATGTTGACCAGTTTCTGGGACGTTGTAAGGTAGGGCTGACAGGAAAACCGTGGTCGCATTAGATGAGAAACACAAAGCTGAGGATATACAGGAAAAGAATAGATGTTACTTAGGCATCTAGATTTTACTAGAGAAAACTAAATGGAGATGCTCTTGGAGAAGATAAAACTAAATAAGTAATACATTATAAGTAAAATGTCTCTCAAACTTCTAAGTAATGATTCTCTATCAGATATGGATCCAATAATAACCATTTACACTGCAGAAAAAATAAGACCGTCATGCAATTCATCAGAAAATGCAAATGGCTAAAAGTCTTTAAAAACTTTCTAAATACGTTTTGTGGAATAAATAATGTGATGACAAAAATGGGTATGATTACTTTTCTGGATGTTTTCTCTTCTAAAAATGGCCCTTGTGTTATGTCTGGCAGTGACAAGTGGTCCTCTCTGAGGATGGGCACGGTCTGATGACCCAAATAAACATGGAGGCCGTGCCCACACCAGGGGCCCACTTCTTACTGTGATCTTCTCCTCCTGGGCGTTAAAGGCTGTCTCAAAGTCATCATGCTTCTGCAGAAGAATATCCACACTGCCCAGGGAGTTCCCCAGGTCCTCGTTTTCCAGGAAGGCCTATAGGAGACAGAGAGACACATCTCACTTCTTCATCACTGCTGAGAACCATGGCCTTTGCAACATCTCTGACATAAGAACTAAGGACAGAAAGGAGGCAGTGGGAGAGCAAGGTGGGATTAACACATGGCGGGATGGCGTTTAGCGACCAACCTCGAACAGCAGGAACTTCAGATCCCTTCCCAATCCTCCGGCACCACTTTACCAACTTTTCTCTAGGTCTGTCCACATAGAATCCTTCCAGCCAATTGAGGCACCATTCTGAAACCCCAACACTGCCTCAGGAGGACCACTCACTTCCTTCAGGAAATCTCTGGTTAACCCTGACTCATCACAACTTTCTATTCCTGACCCCCTAGCAATTTGATATGCAGTTGGCCTTATGGTGAGTTGCAGTGAATGCCCCTCTGCTGGGTATGTTGGTAGTTTTCTAGGCTTCTGTTCATGAGGGAATTGTAAGAGCCTCACGGAAAGGGCCACTCTCTTCTTCTCCTCATGGATTACTCTCCAGGTCCTAGGACAGCCCCCAGCCCTCAGTAGCGGTCATGAGGGTGCCGATGTTAGTCCTGTGGTAAAAGGGCCCTCCTGTTACCTCTTGTCTGCTCATCCAGCTGTCCACCTGCTCACTGTCACGATAGAAGAGGTGCAAGTACAAGCACTGCTCATACTGATGTTGCCGCTGGTCCCACAGCTCCCGCAGGGCGGCCCAGTCGTTGGCCAGTATTGTCATCTTTGGAAAAGGGGAGACAACATGAGCATCCAATCAATGCAAGGCCTTTGGAAGGGCACACAAATGAACAAAATGAACAAGAAGCAGGCTTTTCTCTGAAGACTTCAATGTCTAGGTGAACAACGTAGCATGGAAAATAGGGCAAATGCCATAACAGAGGCACAACAATACCCTTGATACGTAGAAATGAAGAAGAGATGACTTCCGACTGGAAGAAGCAGGGAGTGAAGTGTGGCAGGTATTGTACCAAACAGGGATTTAAGGGGTGGGGGTGGGGAACGGGATCATAGGAGGGCTACCGCAAGAGCATCATTTCTCCAAGTAATTGTTAGATAGTACAGTGCTCCAGAGCCAAGTGCAGTGTCTAAAAATGTGGACATTTAAGGAAGATAAAGTTTATACAGCACTCAAATGAACATTCTGAGAAGTATGCATTCTCTCCTGAAAGCAAATAAACCCCCAAGAAAAGAGAAAGCTGACATTCTCAAACCCATAAGAGCCTTTGTTTCCTGATCACACATCTGCGCAAAGAATTCCAGTTTATCAGCAACGCTGCCGTGTTAATTCCAGCAAAAAGGCAGCAGAGATTTCTCAGAATCCCAGGATAATAGATACATTTGCAAGAATCTAGGTTTCCTTTAGCAGAAAATGGTTAAAAAATAAAAGTTCATCTTTTTAATTTTTCCCATAGAGTCCTGGGTGAATTCAAAATATGGCAGTCTTAACCCCACTCATCCCCCAGCACTGGAGGCTGTGATTGGAATCTAATAAAGTGCAAAGAGCCTGCAAATCTTATTTTAGTTATCAACCCAAGGAGTTCCTGTGACTCTGCGTCTGAAGCAAAATCTCTCAGGGATCAGGGAGTTGAGGTGAGTCCTCGTGATTCAGGAGATGAGGGTCATGGCAAACCTGATTATTCAGTGGGTGGGATTCTGACTGTTTAAAGCTTTCTTGCTATTTAATGTCGATTTGAGAAACCCAGGTATAGGAAAATCAATGCAATTTGAGAGGAGAAGAGAAAGCCAACCATGTGCCAGGCACCTTAGGGAATCCAAAGATGAGTAGGTACGGTCCTCAGAGAATTTATAATCTAGAGGTGAGAGTAGAAAAACAATAAAAAAAGAGCATGTCTGACAAGGCCAAGATGGTGCAGAGGTTTTGAATTAGGTAGAAGGCAGGTTGATGAAATTAGGTAGGTTCAGGAAATAAAGGCTCAGAGGTGAGGAAGCACCCATCGCATCTTGAGAATTTCAAATAACTCAATTTAGCTACAGCAATATGTGAAGGAAGCAGTGTGAAACTTGGGGTCAATATTGAGATGTCAATATGACTTCCACTCTTTTCCTGTTCAGAGATTATCATACTAGTATGAGATTAAGTGAGGCTAACTATGTATCATAATTTCACACCCTGTTAAAGTGGATTACCTTTTCCCGAACTTCATCAGAGGCTTCATGACCAAGGTCCAGCAGATCCCGACCGGTCTCATCAGCAGATTGGAATCGGTCATCATAAGAGTCAATCTCGTGCTAGGGCCACAAGATGAAATGCCTTCAAATGCAGCAAGAAACCTTCTGGGGGGCTTGGCACCTCCCTCTTCCCCCTCCCAGGGAGGCTTTTCTTGTCTACCTTGTGCTGCTCATGCCTGTCCAGTAGAGCCTCCCCGCCAGCCACATCTGTGGGCAGCTCGTCAGCATTGATGAGTGAGGTCTTCTCCTTCATCCAGCCCGAGAGCTCCTCATAGTCAGATAAGAAGCGCCGATACCTGCAGGAAAGATAAGGTAAAGAGCGGGAAAGAGAAACCAGGTAGGTGTAAGTGGACTTGGTGCCTAGAGTTAGGGTCGGAGTGAGCTGAGATGGGCAATGTGCTCTTCACCCTAATCCCCGCTCCCGCCTCCCAACTCCCCTGATGTGTTTCCTGTTCCCTTAGTGGTGAGGACTGTCCTTCACTCCAAGCTGCAGACACCCGGGGATGGGTGTGTCAATGTGTGATGAATCGCAGGGGCATTGCTCGAAGCAACATCCCAACGTCACACCTACCCCAGAAGCACTTGAACTAAAGAACTGCCAATGAGGCCACTGTATCAGCCATGACATATGAATAACAGGAAGCACATGGTAGGAAAGGGGCAGAGCTGGGGCTAGGAGCCCTCGTGTACCTTAGCTCACTCTGGACCCTATTAATAAACACAAAACCACTAAAACAATTACTTAGTTAAACAGTTAAATGCTCACCAGTTAATTTGGGATCATAAAAGTAAGATAAACACCATCTTCTGGGTTTTAATGTCACACTATAAAAATTAACTACCGAAATGATGCCCAGCTTTTCGGCAAGCTAACCCCCATCACATTCAGGATATAATTCTAGATTTATTTTTTACTCCCTTCCACCTGGAAGTTTATTTTGGTGCCTCAGGATTTTGGTGTTTCTTCAGCTGCTTTTCCAGGTCCTTGGGCGACTTGCTAGCCTCCCACACGTGTGCAAGTGAAGGAAGGCACATGGGGTGCCATGAGGGGAAGTGCCATTCTGTCACGTCACACTACAGAGGACTCCTCCAAACAAACAAAGCTTCTTTTGCCTCAACCATTGAGGAGGCAGGAGGGCTGGTTCCCTCATTACGTTGTCTCATCCACTCTTAATTTCTGCTTTTGATGTTATACCCAAACCCTATAGAGATAGAGCAAGAGAGAGGAGGGGTTTCCCACCAATAAGAAGCTTGCAGCTTCGCATATCTTCTGGTCGCCACGGTACGAATGTGCTCCCAGTTGGAGAGCAGATCCTCTTTCATCTGTTGGATCTGAGCTGCATCTGAAGGGTGGGAAAGCATCAGCTTGTCTGCTTTGGCACACAACTCCTTTACCTTTGGGATGAAAAAGAAACCCAGTGGGCAATCCAAGCACTCTGATTTGTCCTGGCAAAGTTTCATGGGAGAGAGCTGACAAAGCAGCCACATGAGCCCTAATAGATTAATACGCTTACATTGATTCTTTTATGTTACTATGTGAATGTACTATAGCAGCATTAGTAATTGACTGACCACGTTTGTTTCTTATTGTGCTTAACACTTCACATGCTTTTGCTTGCTTTAGAGTCTTTTAAAAATGATACTCAGAGGTAGAAACTGTTCATAATCCCCTTTTATATGAAAACCAGGAGCAAGGTTTAGACCCCAGGCTGTCCTTCACACCCTCTATACTGTTTCCATAAATATCATTGTAGAAATAAGACATGTTTGCCCAGGAGAATTTCTGCCACGAATTCCAGCAATGCCAGGCTATTCTGAGCACAATTACCAAGAAGCAGAGCCACTGGGCCTCCTACACTGTTGGTGGAAATGTAAACTAGGAATGTAAACTGGAAAACAGTATGGAGGTTACTCAAAAAATTAACAATAGAACTCCCCTATGAGCCAGCAATAGCACTGCTAGGAATTGACCCAAGGGATACAGGAGTGCTGATGCACAGGGGCACATGGACCCCAATGTTCATAGCGGCACTCTCCACAATAGCCAAAACATGGAAAGAGCCTAAGTGTCCATCAACGGACAAATGGATCAAGAAGATGTGGTTCATCTATACAATGGAATACTATACAGCAATGAGAAAGAATGAAATCTGGCCATTTGTAGCAAAGTGGATGGAACTCGAGGGTGTTATGCTAAGTGAAATAAGTCAGGCAGAAAAGGATAGATACCATATGTTTTCACTCATAAGTGGAACAGGAGAGACTTAACAGAGGACCATGGAGGAGGAAAAGGGGGGGAAAACAGTTAAGAAGAGGGAGGGAGGCAAACCATAAGAGACTCTTAAATATAAAGAACAAACAGAGTGGCTGGAGGGGCGGTGGGTGGGGGAATGGGCTAAATGGGTGATGGGCATTAAGGAGGGCACATGTTGGGTGAGCGCTGGGTGCGACATGTGAGTGACCAGTCAGTGGGTTCTACTCCTAAACCCAATACTATACTGTATGTTAATTAACTTGAATTTTTTAAAAATAACTTTTTTTTAATGTTTTATTTATTTCTAGGAGAGAGAGAGAGAGACAGCGTGAGCAGGGGAGGGTCAGAGAGAGTGTGTTTCATATTCTGAAACAGGCTCCAGGCTCTGAGCTGGCAGTCAGCACAGAGCCCGACGCGGGGCTCAAACCCACGAACCGCGAGATCATGACCTAAGCGAAAGTCAGATGCTTAACCGACTAAGCCACCCAGGCACCCCAAAAATAACTTTTTTAAAAAAAGAAAAAGAGAACCCAAAGGTGGGCCTAATAACATGCCCCAGGGTGTCTCTGAGTTTATTATAGAAGAACAAGAAGAAACAACTTCAATTATTGACTGAGTCCAGGAGAAAAAGAAACAGGGTTCAGCTGCAACTGACAAGTGTGGTTTAATGAGAAAGGAAAGATTCTCTGGGTGCAGGTACAGAGTGAGACTACCTCATTCTTGGAGGTAGATTTTGTTTGTTTGTTTTTAAATCATGAAATTCATTCCCAAAAAGCACACAAGAGTATATAAAACATCTATGTATCTTTAAAGAAAAATAAAGGACATCCAATATCCATGTATAGGTTATGAACAAGAATGAGAAGAAGATGCAGGGCCAAGGAATTTCTCCTTCGTTGAAATAGTGAATTTACTGTGCCCTCTGGAGGCAAGATGGCCACCAAATGCCTCTTCTAGTGCAGGAGGCCAGCCGTTCTTCCAGCAGTGGCTTACCTTGTCCTGCATCACCGCAAGGTTCCTCTCAAGGCCCTTGTGACTGTGAAACAGCGCCTCAGAACTAATGAGGTCTTTGCCATAGTCCTCAGAGGTGAGTTGAGGTTCCTTCTCCTTGATCCACTGGATGGCTTCTGTCACGTCCCTGCCAGACAGCCACATGAGCTCCGACAAAGAAAACGGCAGGAATTCCAGGGCAAACAACACACACAGCCAACACCACGCTGGTTCACTCAGCTAGTAATTACCTTGAATTCCTACTAACTATCAAATAGTAATGCAAAGAGTTCTTGCTTTTAATGGTTTCCACTGACATGTAGAGGCCTGGGCATCTACCTGGTCATTGGGCCTCTGGATATACTTCCCATATCTGGGTCAGCTCTTAATGAGTCTTTCTTCTTCCCAACTCACCCCTCCACTCCCATCCAGTTCCTGATAACGCTTTCCTTGCTTTTGCAGCCTTTCCATTGCTAACTGTGGGCTAGTTGTATTGCTTTGGGCTCCTGTCATCACACACTTGGCTATGGAGTGGGTTGCAGTTGTCTTAACTGTGCTCTCCCTTGCTGCCTTAAAGGCAAGCACATGATTTCCTTTGATTTGAGGTACTGGCCAGTAATTGCTGACCGTAGACAGAGGCTAGCACAGTTATAGATGTGGCGCTGTTGTAGAAATTCCCATAAAATGTGGGCCAAGTTCATACCTTTTGAATCGCTGGAGGTCTGCAGCATTGGCCAATGTTTCCTGTCGCTGCCCAGCCAGGCTGAGAAGACGGTCCCAGGCAGTATTCACATCATCCTGCTTTAGCTTAATCAAAGGAAGTTCAGGATGGCTTTCCTGTGGGAGGAGACCAGTGCTGGCATTAGGCAAAGGTGGGATTATTCCAAAAATCATTTGACATTCTCATTGCACACTAGTCTGTGCTTTGCCAGGCATAGAGAGTGACCATTTAGCCAGATACCAATCTTCACCTTAGCCCTGCGCCCTTGCTTTAACCCGACCCACATTATCAAATCTAAAAGCCAACCCACCAGATACTGTCTCTTTCACTCATAGCACCCTATTAATACAGATTGCCCAGCCGTGGTGTTATTTTCAGAATTCCACCTTGTTGGTGCCTGCTAAGTTTCCCCCACCCCCAAATCCTGAAAAGCAAGGAAGAAAAAGTCCCTTCTGTGAAATATGACTTTATTTTCCAAAACCTTCTACTGTGGTTCTGAACTCCTCTGGGGTCCTGATGCCTTCGAGAAGCTAATGAGAGATTATACAGAATTATACACGCATGTATACACATTTAATTTTGCAAAGAAACTTCATAGATTGTTGCAAACCATCTGAAGCAAGGAGATTTATGAATGCTACATTAAGTTAATAGCATCAGCCTATTTTGACACTTGGCAATTTCGAATAACTCCCATGTGCCTGTCTTTCTGCTCCTCCTGTCCCTGTCTCTTCATAGTTCCATTTCCAATTCTGAAGCTTCTCCAGACAGAATGTCCTACATTCTCCTTCCCAGATGTATGGCCCTTTCTGTTTGGAGCTGTGTGGGTCCTGGTCCAAAAGAGCAAAGGACACGCTGTCTGCTGGGTTGATCCTTCCCATGGGAGGTTAGATAAATTGCCATGCTATTTTGCCATGAAGCCCACCTTTCAAGATGTGAAGTCCATTTCCTCATTCTTTGGATCTGGGTTGGCCTCTGACTTGCCTACCATAGAATGTGCCAGAAATGATATGAGCTCCTGCACTTTTCAGCTTCTGTTCTTACCTTTTGGAACATTGACATGTAAAAAGGCATGCTCTACTGGAAAATGAAAGACCATATGAAGAAAGGCCTCATTATTCTCACCAAGACCACCAGCATGGGAGCAAGGCCATTTTAAACCCTCCACCCCCAACTGAGCCACCAAATAACTGCAGCCACTTAAGAAACCCAGGTGGGATCAGGAACATTGCTTAGCTGAACAGCTGAACCACTGAATCCAGAAGAATAAAGTGGTTGTCGTTTTAAGTTTTGTGTTGGTTTGAGAGAGAGCAGTGAATAGCTTAGAAACTTCCACAACAAGACAAAGGTGGCAGAAAGAGAAAATTTAGAGACTGTTGGAAACATGGCCTGGAAAAAAATTCAGAGGGAAGTTCTTTCCCCACTCTGGTACCCATTCATCCTGAAATCTCAGTTCCGTTAGTATAGAAGGATTGTTACCGTTCCGGAGATGCAGTGAGGATGAAACCATATGGGAAAGCACAACAGACAACACTTCAAGTTTCTAATTTCTTTACATCCACATAAAATTTCCTTTATATACAAATAAAATCAGACTGGCTTCCTAATTTTCTTACACATCCTATGGTTATTTAGCCCCACACTAAATTGTCTACTCAGATATCAAAAACTTATTTAAATATTTTCTTAAGTAAATGAAAGTAAATATACCTCCCTTTCCCTTCCCCCACTCACAAGAATCATGTATAATGACATCATCTATATTACAATAGCCCATCATTATTTTACACTCTTTGCTACTTTATTTGGATTCTTCTTCATGAGGAAAGGGTGCCACGTAAAAGCGAGTGGTTGACTGATTGGTGCTCTGCACAGGATCTACCTGGCTGTGGGTCTAATTCCTCTGTAAACATGCACAGGCACACCCACAAGCATGAACACATATACTCCCCCTCCCACTCACACCTCTACTTGCACAGGCTGGCAAGGGAAGGACCCAGACAGGAGAGGAAGCCGTCTTGGACCTGTTACTACAAGGACACGCAGCCTTGTTCTCTCCCAATGCCCCATGTCCTTGACATCCCACCTACTGATGGCCGGCAGGTTTTGGCTATCAGAAGCTCTTCCCTGCATTGACCCTTTGCTCCCCACCTCACCTCAGCACTCTTGTTGGCATACTGGTTCATCCCATCCACTTTTCTTTGCTGAGTTGCCAGGTCCGTCTGGAACTCCTCAAACTTCTTATGCAGGACCTCTGTGCGCTCCCAGTCCTCACCCAGCTCCACTGAGGTCACGAGAGCCTCCTGTGCACCAGGAAAGTCTGTCAAGCCACCAGCAAATATTTTGGAAGTCCTGCAGTTCAAATGCCCAAAATCATTACCCACACTCCCAGGAAATCTCAAGGAGAGATTGGTGGAACCTGGGAGAGGCCTTGAGGAAAGAGCCAGAAGCAGGAGTGTATGTCTGGAAGGGGCACTCTGGCCCAGGGGACCGCACCCTTTGGGGTAATCCTCCAGAAGGACCAGGGACGATGTTGGCCATGGCTCCCGGAGGCACCCTTTGTACTTCGGAACTTGAGAAATAAATTGGTCCTGCGTCTACTCAATTCAACACACTGAGTGTTCACAAAAGGGCTGCACTAAGCACTTGCTTGGGTGTATCTTCAGTCCTAACTACAGGATCATTCTTTCAGCGTCTAGAAAAATAGCTCCAGGTTCTGATAGGCAGCCCTTAGGGAAGGAGCCGGCAACACTGCCAGCCTGGATCCAGAGTAAGAGCAAAAATTTAGGAGAGGGAGCTAAGAGTCACGGAAAGTAGACGGAGACTGTCCTAGAGCATTTCCCCCACACCGCAATGTCAGCAGTCTCCAGGATGCCCCTAAATCTTCACCAGAATTCCTTCTCTCCGGGAACAAAGTCCAGGAACAGCCGCCCAGACCACTTTATGAATAGCTTGCATTCAGTTGCTATGGGCTGCCTGGGAGGCAGACGGGATTTCCTCTGTGTCCTGCGTGGGTCCTACCTTGTCTCCAATCCACTCCAAGATGTCCGCGCACTCTTGCAGGTACTGCTGCAGCCTCAGGGCCCGAAGCAGCAGGGCGCCCCTCTCCTGGGTCAGCTCCAGCAGCAGGTCCCACAGCTTGCGCAGCTCTACCAGATGGGCCTTTGGGAGCAGATACAAAACCGCTTAGGGGCCGCACCTGCCGCGGGGCAGCCAGGACAGGTGCAGACTCAGAGACCTGTACTCCAGGGGGCCTGGATAAAAATGTCATTCGTTCATGTGTTACTTGCTCAATAAACCTTTAAAGGAGGAAATCGATATACATGGGAGTAGCTGCTCAGCCAAGCCAAATATGATCTACCATAAGAGAAAAAAATGTAAACATGCTTTGAGGTTTTACAGGATGAAATGATTACCAACAACAAGACAGGATGGAATAAAAATTCATGTAAGAGTGCTCATTGAATTGAACCTTGAGGAACAGATAGGATTTAGAAAGGTCCATGATAGGTAGAGGGCATTCTAAGTACCAGCAAAGTCATAGAAGAAATGTAGCATGAACTGTTTGCCAGGGGAGTAAGGGCTACAAGTTTGCTAACTTGTAATGGAAATTAATGGCACCAAAGCATTAAGAGAATTTTTGGACTCTGCAGGTGAAGGCTTTGATGCCAGGATAGATTAGAAGATCATGTATTACATAACTCGTAAAACTAGAGGTATCGTCTATGTCATGTCCTCAAGAATCTTACATTTTTCAACTAGTCCATTGCCTAAGGTAGCACGTGTACCACATTTCTCTTCGAATCCTATAATGGTGCAGTCTTATAGGGTGCGGTGAGCCTGATAGTTGCAAAAATATCTCAAATATTGCTCATATATTGTAATTAATGTAGGGGATCTGTGGCACACAGAGCTGTGAATAATACAAAGATGATTTCACTTTTATACCAATATGTAAGTTTTAAGGTTTTTCTTGTTACAGACTCTTCAATAAGGTTCTTTTCTGATTAAAGTCTGGTTAAAATATGACCTATTTTCTTGATAGTAAAATGGACTAGAATTTATATGCTAAATGTGGAAAGACTAGACCCAATTTTTAAATATGGAAAGTAAATCTGGTTTGACAATTCCAAAACAAAACAAAACAAAAACACTCAATAAGTGAAAGAAAGAAAGAAAGAAAGAAAGAAAGAAAGAAAGAAAGAAAGAAAGAGAGAAAGAGAGAGGAAGGAAGGAAGGAAGGAAGGAAGGAAGGAAGGAAGGAAGGAAGGAAGGAAGGAAGGAAGGGGAAAGAAAGAAAGAAAGAAAGAAAGAAAGAAAGAAAGAAAGAAAGAAAGAAAGAAAGAAAGAAAGAAAGAAAGAAAGAATCCACTCATACAGAAGAGATCCTGAGTTGACTTTATCAACCAAGCATGTTGGAAGAGTGTGCAAATGAAGTCAGAAAAGAATTGATCCATTAGTAATGGATTCCAAAGTGGTGGTGGTCTTCAGTTTTCAGTGTTCAGGGAGGATTTTCTGAAGACAAGGATTTGGGAAGCAGGTGTAGAGAACTACAATAGTAGTCACAGCATGTGGGCTGTGAAGAGAAGGAGGCATCACTGACAGAGATATTTAGGAGAAGATTCAAATGGCAGAGCAACGCTTGTTTGAAGAGTCTAAGGAACAAGGACCCTGCGGTCAGAAAAAAAAATATTAGAAATGACATTTGGGAGGGGATCCTGGGTGGCTCAGTTGGTTGAACATCTGACTCCTAATTTAGGCTCAGGTCATGATCCCAGGATCGTAGGATCAAGCCCTGCATTGGGCTCTAAGCTTAGCATGGAGCCTGCTTGGGTTTCTCTGTCTACCTCTGATCTCCCCCACTCACACCCTCTTTCTGTAAAATTTTTAAAAAGCGGGGGAGATAAAATTAAAAAAAAAAAAAAAACCAGAAATGACATTTGGGAAAGCCAGTTCATCTGGGACATGTGGAACTGGGCTGAAGAAGACTTGATCTTCAGCGAAGTTATCCTGCGGTGGCCAAGGAGGAATGTGATGCTGTCCCAAGATAGCTTTTGTATCATAGCTCTTCTCCCCACCCCAGGGAACAGGAGGACGTCCCCCCATTTTTCCTACACCATCCCAGGACATCCCAGGACTTCCTACCTAGAAGATCAGAGGCAGAACCCCAGTTCCAAGCCAGCCACATTGAGCTTTATACCTGGCATAGTCAGTGAAAACTGATAACATAATCAACAGCTGGACTCATCTCTTCCAGAGCCATATTGTACAGTTACCTTGGTGTCCTCATGGGCAAAATGCCCCTCGGCAAACCGGGTTTCTCTGATTTCTTCCAGTTCAGGAATGACCCTGGATTTTGCTTGCACTTCTGCCTCGAAGGATTCATGCTTCCGATACTTGCCCTGAAGTTTAGAAATCAGAGGACATGGCTAATGAAGCCTGGCATCCCTGGGCCATAAGGGTGTTCTTCTGTTCCTTTTCTTACTTTTGGGCAGAACTCCTTGCTTCACAACCTAGATTAAGTGGTAACCCATGACCAGGGCTGGAGGAGTCACATCCTACAAGAAATGGTCACCCCAGGCCCACCCAGGCTCAAAGTCAAGGGCCATAGAGAAATGTTTTGTTCCTGTTCCCATTGCCTTTGGGGAGTTTCCAGTAAATACTTTGCTATTTTTAAGTCTCCACTGCCATTGGTGGAAATGAAAAGATGCCCCATATTTGTTCCTCTTCAGAAAAGAGGAAGTAAGTGCTATGGAAAGTTGAATGCAATGAAGAAGATGATTATTACAATAATAGCTTTTTTTTAAATTGAGAGATTTTTGCTTATTAGACTATGTTCTTATTTTCATATATAAGTGGATACACTTAATATATGTCACTTTGTTTTTGATCCAGTGCTTGCTCTCAAGCATCAAGTACCCCTTTTAGGCAAGTTACTCTTTCCCCTGGTCATGACTGTCACATGCTATTATACAAGGAGGAGAGGAGCTTCCACCAAAGCTGTCCTCCTGACACCTGTCCTGTGGACTTATCAAGGACACGAATGGCCCCTTAGGAGAAACCCAGGGAAAAGTCCATTTAACTCCTATCCTTCTGAGCAGAGTGAAGGGCAACTGACTCAGAAGCACTGATGTTTCTTTACCTCAAAATATTAAAATTACATAATGCGTCAAAAATTCTTTGAACTCTCAGTCACTGTTTTGCTCGTGGCTTAATTTCAGACTAAGAATACATTCATAGAGGGGTGCCTGGGTGGCTCAGCAGTTAAGTGTCTGACTGTTGGTTTTGGATCAGGTCATGATCTCATGGCTTGTGAGTTCGAGGCCTCCATTGGGCTCGGCACTGTCAGTGCAGAGCCTGCTTGGGATTCTCTCTCTCTCCCTCTCTGCCACCCCCCTCTGTTTCTATCTCAAAAATAAATAAATAAATGTAAAAAAAAAAAAGAATCCATTCATAGAGTGAGTTTCCTTTGTAAACAAGGCACTGAGGCTTAAGAAGTTGAAGACACAGGCAACTTAGAAGCAGAATTATGGTCCCTAATAGGCAGTCTGATCTTTCTCTCACATTATCTCCTTACAGTTAACTAACTATGCACTTATATTACAAGAATGTTACCCTCCCTGGAGATCTCAGAGTCTGCTCTGGGAAAGTCAAGTGAACTGAGTACCTGGATGTTAGTAGGGTCTTCATAGCTCTTATCATCTGCAGTCTTGAGTTTCTCCAAGATCCACTTCTCCAGGTCATCTGCATCCCGTCTGAAAACCTGGTAGTGATAGGATTCTTCGAGCTTCTGACCTCTTTCCGCAACCATCTCCTTGAACCTCTGGTACCGAGTCAGCACCTCCTGACGTCTCTCCTGGATTGCCTCTGCTGTTTCCAGCACTTTTGGGCCACTACTCTCCATGGCCTGAAAGTTAAAAATCTTCTCTTACTGGTTCTTAAATCTCTATGATGTCCCTATTATATGTCCCAAGGCCTTTACTCATGTCAGACTTACATCCGGAATTCTTGAAGCCTGTAAAAGCCTGGTGTTACTAGGGGTCTAGCGTATGTAGCTACCCTTTCAACTAATAATTCCTTAACATTCAGAACATCCTTCCACCTTTTCACATAAATGTGTGCCAACATTTATTACATTCTGTAAATAGAATGAATTTGGGTTACTGATGGAAGACAAGTTTACGTTACCTAAAATCATGTATTTCAGACACATAAAAAAAATATATAATTTTCTTTTCAAAGGCTAAAAAATGTTGACATAGACTGATCATTCTGAATTTATTTCATGAACAAACATGGCTTGTAGTAAACTTGATGAATGGCATACACAAACATTTGGAGAATTTTTTCACATAAGATATAGATTGCTCATATATGTTTACCTTTTTTATTTGCTTTATTTAAAAACATTACAAATAAAAAGACCAGCATACATTTTATCCAATTATCATACATATCAAATTATTAGCCTCTCAGTAATTGGCTTTTGCAACATAAAACATTATATTGTTAAACAACATAAGTAGGACCAAACTACTTGGGGCAGTAACTTGCAAAATCTCTATAGGGGTTACCTTCATTCATCTGGATTTGGGCAGTTTCCCCTACCTTATCTCAGTCAGAACACTGAATATCAAGTTTAAACTTTACTCTTCCTCTGAAATATAATTGCTACTCTGTATATGGCTTTTACTAGTTGGGCTACAGATTCAAGTCATTCTATACAGACCAAATCTTTCTTGTGTAGTATTTTTCTCCATATTCCCTACTTGTTTTCTACATGGACCCTTGTAAACAGGTCATTGCTAGATTTTCATGCTAAAAGCCACAAGCTTAAGGTCATGATTTAAAGTGGGGATACTCACAAGAAGAGAGTCAAAATTAAACTTCTCTACTTCTTAAAGGCCAAGAAACAATTCTTACAGATTCTGTCCAAGATAGCACAGAAAGGTCAAAAGAGACAGCTTTCCCAATTATATCAATGACAGACTGTATTATAAAGAATTCTGTACTCACGGTTTCCTTTGGAAAGCGTTTCACTCTTTGTAAAAGTCAAGAACCTGGCAAGATAAAATGTGTCCCAAAGAGAGAGGAATAGAGAGAAAGAGAGAGAGAATTCACATGGAATTGTTTAGTCTTCTTCAGATAAAGATGAAAGAAATGTGACATATGTGGAAGAGTCAAAAATAAAAAAAAAAAGAAGGGAAAAGAAAAGCCTTGGGCCCAGTCTCCCACCAGCTAGAGTCTATGTTATCTTCAGAAAGCAGGAGACTCATCCAGCTGAGGCAGCTGTTAACTTGTATAGATGCTGGGTGACTCAGCAGTTCAGAGAGACTATAGCTCTAAAAGTTTCTCAGTAGGATTTCATAGGAAATAAAAGTAAGGTTCTTTTCTTTAAATGAAAAATTAGAAAGGAAGAACAGTTATAGATGGGTGCAAGATGGAGAGGCTGTGTTGAAATTCTGTGTCGTTTCTTTGATTCGTCTTAGATTCTGTGTCTGAGAATGGCAAATCAGGATGGAATTCTGGGTGGTCTGGTCTCTGGACTCTGCAGAATTACAAGAACTTAGATTCTTGTTCCAGCCTATCTCTAGGGAATACGACTCAAAGCCTTCATGAAAGCCCAGAAGCAGATTTTTAACAGCCTTTAAATCAATAAGCTATCCTAATTCTTGCTGTAGAGCCTGTGCAAAAATAGGATGAGAATTGTATTCCTGGCCTCACAGGCTGGGTTTTTAAAAATCTCATTTAGCTGTTCCCTAAATGGAAGGAATGAAGGAAGTAGGATATGTGTGTGTTCATTTCTATTTCCTGAAGCAAAAATGAGGATACCTCATTTGACAAACTAATAAAATCACAAAATATTTGAGAATGGGACAGAGTTCTAAAATGTGGGGTAAATGTCACCCTGCTTTATGAATTGTTTTTAATGGAGAGTAAAGGAAGCAGAAATCATTCCCCAAAGGCATAGTTCTTTTTGGCAACGTTCCCAAAATGAAACAAACAAAGAGAAAATGCTGTGCTAGTTTCTGACCCTCTTACAACGCAGGGGACTGCCTGCAACAGGTATGCAACCCACACTTCATTCCCGGCTGGATCTTACTCGAATAACCAAGCTTTCATGGTCTGTTAGGATGGAGCAAGGTTCTATACCTCTGCTTTCCCTCTTTCCTCTTCTTCACCCAAAACAACTGAGAGAGCTTCAAATTCTCTTCTTGAACGTCTAGTATTATTTTACTCTTCCATATAGCTGCATTCTACTCAAATCAAATAGGGTATTTAAGGCAGGAACACAAATCGTAGTGGATGTGTTATATCACATGCACCAAGGAAGCTCCGACTGGAGGTGAGGTGGACAGAGGACATTTAAAAATCTTTATCTAAGAGGTAAAAACCACCACCAATTGCCCTATCTTAAGGTACATATAATTTATATATTGACATGACTCATTCACATTAATTTCTAACCTTTAGAAGATTCCGTGAAGCAGGTATTATATTCCCCACTTTCATATGAGAACAGATGGTGTCTGAGAGGGATCCCATCCCAATGGCTTATGCTTGCACATAAACAAGGAGTCAAGTCCCCCTGAGGACCACCATCATGCCACCCTGCTCTCTATCTGTTCTAGCCAAGCTTCATCAATATTTCTGGTTGTCCCATTCTGGAATCTTCCCAGCGACAGTGCCAACCACGTGATAACCTTGGGGCCAAAGAAATAACAGGCCTCCATCAGCAGGACTGGTCACCAGGAAATAATAAAACTGGGTAAGAACAATCGCCTTTAGAGCAGGTAGCGATGTGATGTGAAAATGCACAGGAGTCAGGGAAGAGGTTTTAGGTATCAAAATGCAACATTCTTTGACTTCTTCATCACAGCAGCCAGAGGGGCCCATGCTACAAGCTCTGTCCTCCGTCTGGCTGCCAGGGCGGCAGCTACCAGCTATGTTCCTCCCTAGCCCATCTTCTCAGGCCCTCTAGTGGATCAAGCCTCTGCAGTCTCAGAGGACCACCGATGTTGGGGTGAGTATCAGGGTGCCCTTGGGATTGACAGAGAGACATGACCAGAAAATCTTTGATCCTGGTGGCTTAACTCTTGAAACCCCGACCCTTCTTGATCCTTTTATAGCTTTCCAAGAACACCCATCATCTCTGATGACAGACAGACTCTGATTCCAGAACTCAGGTAAAGAACGCGAATAGAGTGGAGGTTTAGAATCGCGTACGATCTTTAAAATTGCGTGTTGCTCTGTATGTGAGTGAGGGCTGAGAAGTTTCAGAGGCAGCTTGAGTGTATCCCAGACAGCTTCCTCAGAGATGAGTCTCATGTTCAGTTGTGCAAGGGCGGGAATAAAGGACAGGGCCCTTGCATGGGTCATGGCTATCAGCTCTGGGCAGATCTGTACTTCGCACAGCGGCTTAATCAGCTCTGCCCAGCTTCCCCGGGGCCTCCCCTCTGTTATCAGATCTTTTCCTGGGCCCTGAAGCCCAGAGAGGTGCTCCACACCCCAAATTCTGAGGCCCACAGCACTCAGCGCTCTCCAGCCCACAGAACTAACACCCCTATCATGTTAACTGGATTTTCAGGAGTCCCACTTCCTCAGCTTACTTACCAACAAGGAAAGCTATGTTAATTTTAGTGTAAGTCTAATCTTTTCTTCCATGGGATAAAGGTCATTATTATTTTATCATTTAAACATTTGTATTTTTTTGTTTCTCTGGAATTAGTTCTCATTTTAAAACGTCTCTACTTTTGGGGCACCTGGGTGGCTCAGTCAGTTAAGCTTCCGACTTTAGCTCAGGTCATGATCTCATGGTTCGTGGGTTTGAGCCCTGTGTTGGGCTCTGAGCTGACAGCTCGGAGCCTGGAGCCTGCTTCAGATTCTGTATCTTCTTTTCTCTCTGACCCTCCCCTGCTCATGCGGTCTCTCTCTGTTTCTCAGAAATAAATAAAACATTAACATTTAAAAAAAAAAAGTCTCTGCTTTTTTTTGCCTCTTATACGGGCTAGAATATTAGATAATATAATTCAAAAACATAAAATTATCTCTTTGCAGTTAACCATATCCATGTTAATTGTTAGTGCTGCTGATCGTCTAAAGTTATTTGGATATGTATTGTTCAAGTTTGCAATCCTATAATAAAAGAAATATAATTCTTTTCCCCCTACCACAGTCTTCTCTCACTCTCCCTTAGGTATTTTATTTTATTTTTTTTAACTTGGTCTCCCTGCATAGAATAAGGAAAAACAAAACCCATGACGATGGGTTCCACGATGAACCATGTGATTGAGGCAGGAGGGAAAAGTTGGGATAATGGCAAAAACACTGGATCTCAAACTGAACCATCTAACTTGAAAGCTTGATTCTTCCACTTAATAACCCTATGAGCACTGGAAATTTGCTTAAATTTTGTTAAGTATATAATGGGGATAGCAATGACTAATCTACCTATTTTGGGAACTCACTTTACGTTTCAGTTATAGGTCATACATTTTATTGTGAATCATTAATTTTGAAAATCAGAATGTAAAGAGCAAGGACAGACTGTGGGATAATTCCTCATAAAGCTAAGCGCTTATCTTTTAAAGGATGATTTGCAATGCATCATTTAAAAGTCTTACATAAAACTGTTTGATGTTCCCATCCACTAATAATTTTCTTTGAGTACAGCAACCCTAAAGGAAACCATAAAAACCTAAGTCCTTATAAACTTTATAAAGATAGCAGGTTCAGTGCCATGGCCCCACTCAGGGAAAAAAAAAAAGAGCTCAACTAAAAATATTATTTCTCATTAAAATAAAGGAAAGTATGAGCCAAGTGCCAAGACTGAACATATTTTTTCCTTCGCAGTCATGATTAAACTATGAAGTTTAGTTCTTATATTTAATGGACTAGAGTCCC